CAGCGATCAAATCCACACCTCTGCAAACAGCCCGTGAGTGCTGACTCTCCACAGCTCTGAAACCTGATCAGAAGAGGTTTGCATGCCCAGCCAGTAAAACCATGACTGAAAGTGCTTTTCCATCGCTGCTTCTGGCAAGGGCCCCCTCCTCCTGGCAGCTGCTGAGACGGGGAGTTCGGATTCTCTGGTACTGGCAAAACACTACACGTCTGCTTTCCAAACCACACAGAGGAACAGTTAAACCTACTCAGACAAGCCAGAGACGTTGTCCTCATATCTCCTCAACAGGACACAAGTTCAAACACTGGTGACAGAGCAGTTTCCTATGCAGAATATTTGACCAGAACAGAAAGGAGCTTTTGTACCCAGATACTCGTCTAAGGAGTTGTGTCGAGAGATAACGAGAGGCACAAGATTATGATCTCAGATAAATGCATCTGCTGTGAACAAGACCGCATAGTTTATTCCCATCATGCCTTGGTTTAAGTTATTCAAAATCAAAGCAAATTATTCTTATTAAGTGCTTATCTCCCAAATGTTTTTAGTTCAGGATCATGATGGAGCAAAGACTTGCCTTGAGGTGTGCAGTGGTGGCAGGCAAACAGCAAGAGTGCAGTGTCTCCAGAAGGGAAAATCAAATCAGTGCTGATCTCTTGCAAGCTCTTCCCCAGTCCTGATGGTGCAAAATGGTGCAAAAAGGTCTATGGTGCAAAAAGGACCCTGATGTTTGCTCTGTGTGAGCCCTGAGACACTGCTCCAGAGTACCCAGAAAATAGGAGGGACAGCCCTGCCTCACTGCATGGGCCATCTGGGAGAGCAGTACTACGGATGCCATGGGGAAGAGGTGTCTCTGTTGACCAGTATCAGCCCAATAAACCTGCTGGCAACAAAAGTAGTAACTTCACTATGAGCTTGGTACTTGAGGAGCTGAGACACTGTCCCATCTGCTCTTCATCTCCATGAAGCTGCACGATCTTCTCTTTGCTGTGCTCAAGGTTGTTGCCATATCCCCTGTTCCAAATGTCTTTCTAACAAAGAGACACTTGGCTGCTACAGAATGTGGCTTATTGACCACTAGTGCATGGAGAGAGGTTGCCTCAAGAGGTTATGCCATGCCTGGCATCTTTCTAATCAGCTTTCTCAGAGGTATTTAAAAGAGGTGTCGATGTGGTGCTTAGGGATGTGGTTTAGTGCTTGACTTGGCAGTGTAAATTAATGGTTGGACTGTATGATCTTGAAGGTCTTTTCCAACCTTAATTATTCTATGATTCTACTCTATGATTCCATGACACTCAGTGTAGATTCCCCTTTCTTCATTTTGCCTTCTTTTCCTCGTATTTATCCCACCGTAAGACTACACTTCTTAACCAGTGTTCTGATGTTATTTGTTCTTTTGCTAATCTTAACATTTGCCAGTATCTTCTCGTAACATGATAATCCAAACTGAACTCGGGTTCTAGTCAAACCAGAAATAAATAGAGCTGGTAAATTTTCCTTGTGCCTGTGAACACAGCATAAAATCACACTGGCATTTCTTTTTATTTCCTCGTGGTTTTGCAAATGTAGCTCTAAATTGCTGTACTTGCTCATCTCATATCTCTTGCAGCCTTAAATTCCCACTCCTTGTTATGTATTTGCTTTCATTCTTTCTCACAGGATTAATTTTCTTTTTCCCCAGTCAGATCCTGGCATTGTTTATCTCCTTCCCGTGCTCCAACTGTGCTTACACACTGTGGTGGCTGAGCTCTGCAGAAGTAACTGGATGCACACTAATCCCATTAAGGGCCCTCCAGGCACCTGGGGTTTTCAGTTTTCAGTGCTATTTTCATTTAATCTTCAAATCTTACTTCCTTGCAATTTTAGATCATTAAGGGGTTAAGTGAGATATATCCAGTAAATGAGATAAATCCAAATAAAGGGATTTAGATCTCCCAGTTCAGCGTGTTCCTGTGTCTCACTGTCTTTTCTATCAGTGTTCCAGGGGTTTCCAAACACACCCAGACAAGGGCTCTTGCCAGAACCCATCTGGATTAAACTGGGTCCCAGCTGCAAATAGCACACAGTGGCTGGGAGGGTTAGTGAAAAGATCCTGCAAAAATCACTCACAATAACTATTTATATGGCTCCCTGAAAAGTGGAAAGAAAATGCAATCTAAAATGTTGATGCTCCTGCTTTCAGATCTCATTTTAGATTTTTTTTTTTTTTTCAGAATGCGAATTTTTATCATCTCTTCCCTGAAGTATCCAGACAGGGAAGCCTGCCAGCCTGGATGCTACCCCTCATTTGTAATCCTGGTAAACACAGACAAATGGAACCTTGATTGTCAGTGTTCCCAGCTCCTCTAAGAGCAATCTTCTCTTCTTTTCAGGCTGCAGAGGAAGAATAAGGCAGCAGAAGCCCAGCCCTGTGGCCCCCAGCGTGAGGCTGAACTCAGGGGAAGGGTAATCAGCTCCCTCTGTTCCCATGGGGGCACATTGTCTGCAATTTCTGGGAGGAAATACATTTCTCTGTACTGCTCTCACCTACAGATTCCCCCTGGGACCATGCAGGTCTGCATGTACTCCTTTTTGGATCAAGAGCCCTCATAGAACATTTTGGCAATTTGAGAAATCCATTACTAAGACCCAAATCTGGTCTTCCTAAGGTGACTGGTTTTGCAATTGCCATGCACTGGTGGTATGCTGAAGACACTGTCTATAGAGTGTTCATGTGCATAGAAATTGATTTTTTTTTGTAGATTTTAAGGTCAGAAACAACCATTTAAACCTTCCCATGTAACCCTTTGCACAGACTTAAGAACATTATCTGGAAATTTCTGCCCTTCAGGCCCACAGCTTCTGCCTGAAGAAGATCGTAACTTTCAATAAGACACTCAGTCTGGAGTAAAGATTGTAATAAATGATGAAACCATCCTATCCTGAGGTGAATTATTCCTGTAATTACTTAAGTGCTCACCACAGACTTTCAGCCTCTTTGTCATACAATTTAACCTCCATTTCACGTCTCATAGTTTTATTCCCTTCTCTGTATTTCCTCTGTCACTTCTATTATCCCATTTAAAGTGCACCTGTGCTGGTTTTAGCTGGGGTATAGAGTTAATTTTCCTTATAATAGCTGTTATGGGGCTGAGTTTTGGATTTGTGCTGGAAACAGTGTTGATAACACAGGGATGTTTTGGTTACTGCCGAGTCAAGGTCTTTTCTGCATCTCACACCACCCCACCAGCGAGTGGGCTGGGGGTGCACAAGATGCTGGTGGGGATGGGACACAGCTGGGATCACAGATCCCAACTGACCAGAGGGACATACCACACTGCCTGGCACCTTGCTGAGCATATTGAGCTGGGGGAAGAAGCAGGAAGGGGAAGACTTTCGGAGTGATGGCATTTGTCTTCCCAAACTGATGTTACACATGATGGAGCCCTGCTGTCCTGGAGGTGGCTGAACACCTGCCTGCCCAATGACTTCTCATTTTTTCTGCTTTGCTTGGGTGTGCAGGTTTTGCTTTACTTATTAAACTGTCTTTATCTCGACCCATGAGTTTTCTCTCTCACCTTCTGATTCTCTCCCCCATCCCACTGTGGTGGTGTGAACAAGCAGCTGTGTGAGGCTTAACCCCAGTTGGGGTTAAATCAGAAGAGGCACCAGTGCTGCACTAGATAGCACATCTGTAGTACATGCCTTAATTTGATTTCAGTGCTTTGTCAGTCACTCTGCCCTCCACATCCTCATGAGAAACCTAACAATATAGCATGGCTTTGCATTTTACATTAAATGAGCCATTTGTAAAGGTGCAAAAGATGATTGGAAGATACTCTTAATAAATGGCTTGATTCATAGCAATAGAGTAAGCAGCTCAACAGGTTGCTGTAGTAATTTATAATCTTTCTGCTGCCATATCTGTAGTTATTTATAATTTATACTTCTTGTGATAATAATGAGCTTCGATAGCGTGTCCCTCATTCGAGCATGCAGTTTGCTACTTCCTGCTATTCATCAAATTCAGCCGTTGGGCTCCTTTGATTCATTGGTCTCCAGACACAGATGAGGGGATGGCAATCTCAATTGAATGTTGCCCAAACGGAAAGGTCTGACTATTAATAAATAATCATTCACATTAGGAGGTGATCAGTTAAAACTGGCAGAGTCCTTTCTTTCACGCCACTTTTGCTTCCCACTGCTCATTTTCCCTCCTCTCCCCTCACCAATGTGAGATTCCCACTCCTGGCTCGGAGGGCAATTTCCTTGGCAATTGCCTTGGACCTGCACTGGATGCTGCCAAAGCACCAGCTCTGCCTGGCCTCATCTGTCCTGTGCAAACCTCAGCACCAAGCAGTGGCTGGCATGAACCTGCTGGTACCTGCAGGACCCCACCATTGCCCCCACACTCCCAGTGCCAATCCCAGGCACCCACTGGGGAGGAGGCAGTGCTGGGCCAACCTGTGGAGGGACCTGTCAGCATCCTGCAGCGTCAGACAGAGATCAAAGCTCAGGCAGAGGTGTTCGAGGATGCGGATGAGACCCCTTTAAAGCAGGCATGGCCTGACCTCCGGCTGGAGAAGCCAAGACCCGTCTTCAGGAATCAGAGTAATCCCGGGTGATTTTATCCCACTCCACTTCCCTAAATCTGTGGCTGCTGCTGCTTGGCGAGGGGATTAAGGGGCTGGCAGGGGATTACGCAGCCACTGCGGCTCCGGTCGCAGAGCTCCCTCCTGGCGCGGCTGCACCTCGGGGCACGGAGACGCACCGCACCTGGGGGTGCCCATCCTCGAGAGGTGCCGGCAGGTTTTTGGCTGCCTGCCCTGCGCTGGAGACCCCCGACGGCGCCTGGCAGCAGGAGCGACGTTCCCGGGGCAGAGGCGGCCGGGGTCGCCCCGGGGCTCGGCCCCGCAGCAGCAGGGCCCCCAGCCCGGCAGGATGGCGGGGGCCGCCCGGGAGCCCCCCCAGGGCAGCAGCAAGGGCGGGGAGCCCCCGCACCCCGCCGGCCGGTCCCGTTGCTGATGGTCGGTGCGCGGAGGATGGGGCCCTGGGCCGTCCCGTGGATGATGCTCTGTCTCTTCTGCTTCCTGCCCCCTGCCAGGGCCCAGACGAAGATCCCGCTGGAGACGTAAGTGTTCCTCTCTCTCTGGCGTGGGGTTTTCCTGGCGTGGAGCGGGCAATGCCGTGGGCATGGCAGGCGGGTGGGAGTGTCTCCCTGGCAGTGGCAGGCTCCGTGGGTGTGGGCTCCTCCACAGGGGCACGGTGCTGCAAGGGGTGGCGTTTCCTTACGAGGGCAGGGATGGCTCATGGCAGAGGACACAGACACAGGAGCCACAAATTCAGTTCCCCAGGTCTAGCATAGGATGCAATACCTCTTTTCCCCCATTCATCAAGCGTAGCAATGATACTCATCTGCTTTAGTTAAGCACTTTGACATCTATTAATGCTCTGCTTAATGCACTAGGCGGCAGAAGGCAAAACCAGTTTAAAGACGCGTTCGTAAAACCCCGCTGCTGCTGCAACTGGTGGAGATCCAAGCATGGAGGCGCATGCAAGTGGCCCCAGTTTGGCAGCTCCCCGGTTGAGCAGAGTGGTTTCAGTAGACACTGCTGGTTTTCAGTATGGCAGGAACACCCAAGGGATGCACAGCACTGGCCAGGAGCTGGCTGTGGGAGGATACACACAGGGTGTTTATCCCACAAAGCAAAGACACATCGCTTCGTCACACATGAGATCCAGATCGTGCAGGGCAAGGTTTGCAGCTCCGAAGCTCTGATCCCTTGCATTGATCTGGAACACTGATAGCTTAAAAGGACCCTCATGCACACACATTTACTCACGTGTGTGGACGTCAGGGGATGTTAGTGAGAGGAGGCTGAATAGAGGAAAGAGGCCATGGCACTTCTTACTTGTTCCTGCTCCTCTTCACTACAAAGGGCGTAGTAGCCCTTCCCAGAGGTCTGGAGCAAATGACTGAAAAGCTGAGCTGCAATATAAAGCATACACAGCCACGTTTTGTGCATGCACTGCATTTGGGTCCAGGTGCTAGTGCACGTGCAGGGAAACTTGATGCACCTTTTTGGATGTGGGTTTGCAGGGCACCCACGCCTCTGCTTGTGTTGGTGTGACAAGCGGCTCCTCTGGCATGGTCGCTCCCTGCCAGCCATGCAGCCCGCCCTGGCAGCCCCCCAGGAGCCTAACAGCTCTCAGCAACCCCAGTTTATAAAAACTTCACCTTGTTAAGCTGATTTAGACGAGTTAAATCCTTTAAGGATTAAAAATGTCAGCACTGCGATTGGTAAAAGTTGTTGTGGGGTAGCTTCTTGGGTGCTACAGTATCTCCATCGGTGCAGGACAGTGGGCTGGTCTGGAGAGGAGACAACACTGCCATCCAGTTTCAGAAGGAGATATGTCCAATAAATCAACAAGTCAGCTCAAGCCCTTTCCTGAGTTTAGGAAAATGTTTTACATTCAAAAACTGCCAATAAAACCCTTACAGATGTGCCCACCAATACAGCTCATGGAATTACCAAGAGCTGAGCTGACATCCAAGAGGGTCTCAGGAAACTTTGCTGCCAATGTTATACTTGGCTGCACTATCAAGCCCTTCCTCAGCAGAGTGGTTCTGATTTGGGTTTCACAAAAAGGACACAGTGGCTACCCAGAAAAAAATCCAACTTCTGATAACTGCGAACTATGCAAATTGACTTTCCATGCCCGGGATAAATACTTCATGGAAATACTTTTTGTGTGGCATTAAGAAGCCAGCCAGTCTGTTCCGCTGTTTTTGCCACTGAATGCAAGTGCAGGGATTACACGCAGGCAATCTCTGACCAAATCCTTTTCTGATGTGTTTAGTTATAATGTGATAGCCCTTTACTACTGAGAAAAAGATTTACGTCACTTTGCACAGTTTGGAACTTAATTCATGTACAAGAATGAAGAATAAACAATAGAAAAAGAGCTTTTCTCCCCTGGTACTAAAACCAGACCAACAGCTGAATTAATCCCTGGTGTTTCACATCCACTTATGAATTTAACTAAAACACAGAAGTCACCCTTTTCAAATGAAATTTCAGTAGAGAAACACGTTGGACACGGGTCCAAAGGGAGTAAATCAGCAGAAAATGGACCTGTTCCATAGGTTACACAGGGACATTTTGGGGACAAAAAAGCAGTCTTTTAAACACCAGCTGGGTTCCATCACATTTAAGTGACACAAGGCTGAGTCGGCCTGTGCTGCTCCCCAAGTCGTGTCTGGCTTTGCTGCATCGCGCTTGGCTCAGTGCCGATTCATTCCCATCTTTGCAAAGCTCACTCAGCTTTAACTCCAGCAGTGCAAAAATCTGCTCAGTTACTAGCAATGCTTCTGGGGTGCATTGCAAGTTCAGCACAGAAACTGCCTCTTCTTTCCTCCTGGACACAGCTCTGCTTGTCTGGTGGCCACGGCATGGGCAGGAGTGCTTGCAGCTGTGAGGATTTAGGGCTGGCTTCTTCTTGAGCTGATGGAAACGTTGGGAAATGCTGGTGGGAGAGGTAAAGATCAACCTGGTATGGCCTCTTTAAGCTGCCCCTATTGCCTTTATACATCTGCTCTTGGGCTGATGGAACCAGCAGCCTTGGACAAAATGTCTCTACAACTTGATGAGCTTTAGACTGACCTTTTCTCTCACTTGTTTATGAAAAAATTAAGGAAACCTATTTAAGTTCAGCAGGCTGCCCTTAATTCCCCAGTACTCTAAGGTTGCTCACTTCCCTGGCAAATAATTGTCTTTTAAATATGTAAATGCCAGTGTATTTCTGCCTCTTCACTTTCCTCCTTTTCGACTTCCATGAAATGCCACCAGATATTTTTAATTACCCCGTCTTCAGACCTGTTACACAGGGATTCTGAACCTTTGTGCCTCCAATTCCTCTGTGCCCCCTAACTTTCCAACAAACCCTCCAGTTCTGCCAGTCTCTGGCCCTCTCTTTGGTCCCCCTGCCCTTGCATCTCCTACTTCTGCTTCAAGACCAGCAGAAATATCAGCCCCTGAGCCAGAGTAGTGGCTCAGAAGTGGCTGGGAGAGCCCTCCCAGGGTAAGGGTCCACTCGACACATAGAACACCCACACAGAAATCCCAAAATTATACAAACCTCAACCTTTTTATTTGAGTTATGCCGTTATTGGAAGCTTCAAGAACTTTCAAGATGCTCAACTACACCTGCTAATCAGAAATTAACACCACAGGCACTTCCACCCTGCTGGGTTGAAAAATGATGAGGGCTGGAAGGAGTAGGGGCGCACACATGACCACAGACATGACACTGAACAGAAAGGCCAGGGTCAAGTGCACCATTTTTGTAAGGCAAATGGGGTAAAAGTAAATATCCCTGCTAAAATTACTATCCCAAGCTTCATGTTTATGTTCTCTCTTTCTGCAGTAAAAGGTGAGGAAGCTGGAGAATATCAGTTAATATCAGCATAAAACATCTCATACATAAAAGTTATAAAGCCAGCAGCAGCAGATGGGCATCAAGTTAGCTGTTGATCCAGAGATCCTCATATCTAAGGGAATGTGTTAGTCACTACTACAACAAACAAGAAAGCATCCCATGGGATCCCTCTTTCTGGTTTCCTCTTTTATTCTAGGCTTGCTAAAATAACTCTGATATGGCCCAATAAATCCTGGTCTCCTAGAAAGTACTTGTATTCTTTTTTCTCTAAGGATGACATGATGAGATAAAAGCTCTGGCTCTCAAAATAAGATGCAGAGCACAATGCAAGAAAAAACAAAATTGCTTCAGCTGGTGCTAGTTCACACTCAGTGGTTAAATATGAATGCCTTGTTGCCAATTAAGGAGTGATTTAAAAAGGCACCCACTCCCTCATGCTTTTTTTACAGGCAGTGGAGAGAGGTGCAGATCAGAGCTGAAGTCCTGTGCCTGTTCCAAATCGTTGCCTGTAGCTGCCTAGTTCCTATTTGTAAGAGAGGAGTCTAAACAGGCTTTCCTAGGCTAAAGCTAGCAGTTGTGATTATTCCCCCATTGCTATGCTGGCTTCACTCCAGAGCCCATCTCTGTGTTGGTGTATTATTTGTGGTGCAATGCACTGGGGAATCAGGCCCTGAGGTTAAAGTCTGCTTGGGACTCAAAGAAATCTACTGGAAGCCATAGGTAAGACTGCACACCATAAATAAGTGGTGTATTCAGGTAAGTGGAGAAGGCCACTTACTGCATTAGAGACATCTCTCTGAAGTGAATCCTTGTTGAAGGAACTGCAACTGTAGGTGGAACTGCCTAATGTGGATCGTGTAACAGATTTCTGATGAAGTGCTCTGTCAATTATGAGAGCCATCTATTTTCATTTGGATGGTTCAGTGTTCAGGCTGCTCTTCAGCATCCGTATGTTCTCCATGTGGTATTGCTATCGTCAATTATTTATAGGATGGCACGAATGTGAGTAGTGCTTTACAATGATGAGGTGCATAATCTACTGTGGCATTATCAAGCAGTAGTGTCTCCACTGAGAGCAGTGCATTCATCTGCCTTATTAGTCTCTGGCCTGCACTGCTGCAGGAACTGAATCCAAGGGGTGAATCTTGACAACTTCTTCCAAGTCTGACACTTCTTTCTCTTCAGCAGTCCTGACACTAGGTGTCTAGCCCATCACCCCAGGCCCTGTCAGTGAAGATAAATGGGTGTCTGCAGCAAGCTATTTATTTCACTGTGCTGGCAATAGAAGGAAAACAGATGATACCTAAGATGAAAATTGTACCTCTAAAGTTAGGTGGGAAAATTTCAACTCCAAACATAATGACCAAGACCAGCAGACCTCAATGTTTCCCCTTGCTGACAAATGTCCAAGAGCAGTGCTTGTCTCCTGCCTTACTGCTTGTCTGGCTAGCAGTCTGGGGAAAAAACATTGTTATTATAGTAGCTTAGAGAAATAGAGCAGGGTTTATACTTGGAAAGATGGGGTTTTCTCTGTCTGAAAAAGTGAGAAGTTGTGCAGACTTTGATTTATTAACATTGACTTTCCTTTTCTTTTTGTCTTTTTAGGGTGAAGTCCTGGGCGGATGCCTTTGGTGGGGAGCTGTACTCCATTGTGACTAAGTATTCAGGCTCTCTCTTGTTGCAGAAGGTAGGCAAAATGTGTGAGGGTTCCCTTTGCTTCACATTATCTCCCTGTGTAGTCCTCCAAGGTTTCCCCCTGGTGTGGAAGAAAAAGGCACAGGTCTCCAGCTATCTTTCAAATCTATCCATGAGCACAGAGTGATGCTCTGTGCCAATTCTCCATGTACTGGAGAGGGGGATCTGTTTAATGCCTTTCCTGTTTCATTAACCATTGCCAAATACCACCTAAATTGTCCCATTTTTTACTAATACTTTCTAACAGTTTCTATTTTTCTCCCCATGTTTCCCCTCTAATGATTATTTCATGCCCTCACATACTGTGCCTCCGCTTCTCCTTTCCCAAGTCTAAATCAGTCCCTCTGCTTCTCATCACCCACCTGCTTGTTGTCACCCCATCATCCCCTCCTGCAGCTCTTCAGCTGGCACTTATTTCTTACTGCTTCCTCATCAGTATTCATCCAGTTGTGCATCAATCCTTTGAATTTTGCCCTTGAAGCTCTGCTTTGGACAGGGTCCCTGAGGCAGATGCCCTTGGAAGCCACAATTTTCCAGAGACACAGACCTCTGCTTGGCTTCATCACCAAACAGGCTCTGTTTCATTAAACTCTCTACCAGCATTAAAGGGTGTAGCTCCAGGGGCTTTAAACAAATAATCCCAGTTGCAGCTCTAGAGGAGTTTCCTTAAGTCAGTGGTGAATGGCTGCTCCTCTTTCAGACTTGGTGATCTCCACCCTCTATGCTGCTCTGGGGGACTGAAGGGGGCCTCAGAAATGCAGTCACTTCTCTACTTCATGTGTCACTTCTCTACTTCAGTTCTTTTTCTTTACTCTTTCTATGATTCTTCTCTTCAAGACAAGTAACGAGTTGCCTCTCAGGCCTCCTAGGTGTCTGATTTCTGCATCCATGTTAGTAATAACACCCATATCCCAATGCAAAAAAAGGGACGTGGAAATAGTTTTCCTTTCCTTGCTGCTGAGCCCTGTTTCCCTGTCCCCTGAGTGCTGCTTTTTGTCTTGAGTAAGGGAGTATTTCCTGCAGCATCGGCTTTGCTAGGCTTTGGCCAAGAAAGGCTTTCAGCATCCATCACAAAGGTCTGTGGTGATCATCAGTTCTTCTTGGGAGGAGAGGGTCACAAGGCAATTAAAAGCTATCAGCACTGATATAGGTACTTCATGCGCTAACCACGAGGCAGCTGCAGTGGGGTATTGATAAGGCAAAAGTTCACCTTTTAGCAGTTTTGATGATGCTTCCACGTTGCCTATTGACCCACGGGGTCCCCAGGCAATAGTTGTCAGAGGTGAAGTGACATGCTAAGGCATCTCTGGTGGGTACTGGAGCTTCAGTGGGGAGGAGATACAGGCTGGGGTTATTTGATAGTCAGGTACCTGGCTGATGCTGTATAGGTGTGGGTCGACACAGGCAACTTGCACTGCTTCATACTAACACATTAAGGGAGCTCATGTTCCTTGAGGTCCAAAAGTCAGTGGGACGAAGAAGAACCAGAGTTAGCTTGAAAATACAACATTGTGGAAGATAGCAATGCAGGACAAGGATGGCAGATGTGGCACTGGGGTGACTGTCAAGGCAGCTGTGCTGTGCTGGCACTTTGGATATATTGCACCAGATTGCCTTACCTACCTCTGCCCACGCTGTGGGTTTTATTCTTGGGATCCTGATCCCTTTGGGATAGGGGTTATGTGAGACCTGTAGATGCTAGTATAGTACCACTAAAAATTAGAGTCATAGTTATCTTGAACCAAAATTCACAACTATTATCAGTGTTTGGTATAATTCTCCAGAAGCGAAGAAAACTAATTTCTGATGAAAAAGAAGCCCGAATGTAACCAAATCCAATCTAGTACTCACATCAGGAGGAACTAAGGCAGACCTATATTCTCCTGATGGTCTGACAGCCTTGCCTGCCTGATAGCACTTGCCTGCTCCATACACACAGTTTTCATCTTGGAGAGGGGAAGGTGTTTGGTTTGGTTTTGCCTGGATACAGCACAGACTGATTGTGCTTTGTGCAGTACAGTGTTATCTGTGACTGAGAGGGGAAAATGTCAACTTCCAGCAGGGGGTACAGATAAGCTGGATCCAGCCTTGTTCTGTAAACACTCCAGCAAAGTCATCTCCTAAATGCATGTTGTGTCCTTCCCTGCCCTAACTTTACTTAAGCAGTTTAAACAGCTCAGATTTACCTTTCAACCCTGAAGCCCCACTTCCTGAGCTCTTTCATTTCCCCTTATTTCCCTGTGGTAAGGAAATAGAGGAGAACCAGCCAGCACCCACTTCAGTCCTTCTCTCAGCCTCCGTTTCTTTAGTAGAGCAGTAAGTCAGGCACCTTCTCACAAATCCTCATCTTAAAGCAGGGACCATTCTGGAGGCTTCCTTCTGCATTTTTGGCACCTTCTGTGTTTCAAGTGGATGTAGGCATGTCATTTACTGTTAGGCAACACTTTCATGCAGAGTGGCAGACCCCAAATAACTTTATGTAGATCATCATATTGGCACAGACTGTGGATGAGTTATGCCTGGGGAGCCAAATACACCAAAGTCTGAAAATCAAACACGTGGATTTGCCTGCTCCCCTGGCACTTTTCTCTTCTTTGGGCTGTTGCCTCTTTTCCATGGCAAATATTTCGCTTTGTGCAGACCAGCAGAATGGTGGGGAGCACAGTGCAGAGGTCCAGGCAATTCTTTTCTCAGTGCTTGTCTAAGTCAATGGGCATTTTGCCTTTGACGAAACACAGACTGAGAGATAACAGCATATTTTGTATTTTTCTTCATGTCTCCCTTGTGCCTAATAGTCTTGAAGTAACTAGCTTATTGTTGCTTTGAGAGCCATAATTTCTCAGTTACTGGATGCTTTGCATGTAAACCTTGTCTTTAACATTAAGCATAAACTTTCTTTTGTTGCTTTGAGTTTACTTGGTTTTCTTTGGGTTTTTTGTTTGCTTCCTCCAGAAGAACCTTAATATCATGTTGCAAACCCAAATGGTTGACTTCTCACCAGGATTTATCATTCCCAGAGACTTGGTGAACCAGTAGACACCCCTTGAATCCACAGGGACAGGCTTTTACCCTGGATCAGAAATCTTTAAGAAAGTTCTCAGATGGCTGGCAGTCCCAAGCAGGCAGGATGTCAAATTAAATCTCACAGAGTCAGCAAAAGCCAAGTGGCTTTGGCTTGATGGCTGAAGCATTCATTGTCTTGTATTCCCTTGCCCATTATGCACACTTAAACCTGGCTCAGAGAGGATAGATCTGTATTAAAGTGTTGGCTGTGGCCTGGGACAGCTGAGGGCAACAGGGCTGGAGTAAAGAAGCAATGTGAAAGGGTGAGTAGGGGGAGGGCAGTAGCGTCTCACAGAGCAAAGGAACAAAAGTTTGAACCTGTGGCTTAATAGGTGTTTGCCACAGCCTTGCTGCTGCAGTTGGCCAAGCAGTGACCATAGGCTCAGGACCACCAAGGGCAGCCATGCCAGGAGATGACTCTGGGCTTTTCAGGGCTTGTCTTTAAGTGTCAGAAACATCATCAGCTTCAGCAGACCCAAAATTTAAATTTCCTTCTACTGTGTTAACAATGCACTACAAGTGTTTCTGAGAATCATCTCCTGCTCTCTTTTATAGTTGAGGTGCTGATTGCCCTGCCCAGTGGATAGAGTTGAGAAAGGACAGCAGGGCTTGACTCCAGCCCTGCAATTACTAGAAAGTGCAACAAAAAAGTACATGGCAAAGAACAGACAAACTCAAGAAGTTCAGTCAAGACTTTTTCCTGGGTGAAGATGAAAGGAATGTCTTTCACACTCTTAATATAGTTCCACTAGCAGTGAGTAATGGAGCACTGTGTATTTCAATAGGCTAAATTTTGTGGAGGTGGGAACAAGAAAATATATTTGGTGACATATCTCTGTTCACAGATAAAACTTAGGATACTGAATTCTGGATATTCCACTTTTAAATTACCACCCCCAACGCTGCAGAAGGCGAATCTTAATGAATTGCTCCTGCTGTTTTAAGGGAGTGCTAAGTACTAGCTGAATAAGAAAAGATTTTCTGTTAGATCTGAGCTAACTTTTTGACCTCTTTTCAACATCAGATCCTTCCAGCCAGTTCTCCCAAGCCTGATTCGTGTTCTGTAAATTATAATGATCTGATTACCTGAACCCTAAATGCAGGTTGCATGGGATAATCTTGGCCAGCTACAAGCACCTGCTTTGACTTTCAGCCGTGGTGTCTGGTAACAGTATTGAAATCACAAGTACTACTTCGTTTCCCACCATTAGAAACTCTCGGAGTCAATAGTCATTAGTAGCAGGAGATTTTAGTGGCAGAAATATAGGCACAAAGTGGTTTGCTGGTTCGTTTGTAGGAAAAAAGCTCAAAGAGGATCTGAGCTCAAACTTGATGTATTCTTTCAGCGAACCAAATCTTGCAGAAAGTTTTTTGGGTTTTTTGGTTTGGGTTTGCCTTTTTTTTTTTCTTCCCAGCTCTGGCTAGATCTTGGGCCTGAGGCATGTACAGTATTAGCAGAGTGCTCATGATTGCTTGTGATAACTTTTATCCTGTGAGCATCTGCTTGTCAATGTGTGAAAAGCACATTAAAAAATAATTGAGAGGTAAAAAGACCTGGTTTTTAATTGAAGATGTGACCCAAGGCAACGGGTGGCAGGTCACTTTGTGAAGCCCGTGCTGATGTGGTCCCCCCCCTTCGTTAGCTTTCCCAGGAGAGATTACCCTCCTCCCCCCGAGGAGAGCCTGATTAAAGCCTGGCCTGGCAGAGATCACTTCTCTCCCGACGAAACCATGACATGGAGCTAAATGGGACAGACACCAGCTGGGATGTGCTCCGGTCTCGTCAGCGGCCAGGGACCGCAGTCCGGGGGTTGTCGCTGCACATTCCTCTTCCTGCAGCATGGTTACACCAACCTTCGTGCTCAACCCCACCTCCTCCTCCCCCGCTGCCTGCCTGTCCCAGCCGCAGCGGAGGGGATGCGAGGCCTGGCGTTTTTAATCCAGTAAAAGCCTCGCCGTTAATCATGCCAGACAGAGCGAGCAGCCTCCCTGCCATGCCTGCTGCAGGCTGGATGCTGCTATTTCTGTCTGACCTCCTCAGCCTGCCCCATCCTCAAGGCGTTTCTTACTCTGCCTGTGCTCAGCTGCCTTCCCAGACCATCAAGGAGCTGCTTGAATAAAAGGAGCTCCACTCGCTCACCCTAAAGACGTGCAAAGTCCTTTCTCTGCCACTTTCTTCTAATTCGAAAGTGTTACCAAAGCCTCTGCCATCTCCTTTTCCTTTTCACCACCTCATTTTTTTTCCCAGCACAAGAAGTCCAGCCCTGGCTGAGATTGCTGCTGTGGTGCTAGCACAACATGAAGGGGGTTTGAGTACAGTGCAGAGAAAACTGATGATGAAGGACCAGGGAACTGCACTTGGTTGCCTCCATGTTTCCATATTGCTGAGGACATAAGGCTCTGTCTCTTCTGAATAGGTTAATCATACTGTGTCCTTTGGCAGGTTTTTTTACTCTTTCCTTTTGGCTATCTCTGTTAGCTGTGGGATTTCTTGAAAAGCAGAAATAAAGGCCATTGTATCCAGTCTTGAAAGGGCAGATTTAAGGAGGCAGATTAGTACACAGTTTGGGAGTACTCAAATTTTTTAATGCCTAGATTATATGAAACGTGGTCAGAAGAAACTAGTTATCTCTAAACCTGTCAGATCCAGATCTTCCTCATCACAGCATCTCTCCCAGTGGAGGCAGCACTAAGCAGCCATGCTTCTAATTCCTAGTTTCTGGGAAATGCCTCTGTGGTGCTCTTGGCCTAAAGCGTGCTCCTGGGTGCCTGATAATTAAGATCATAACTGTCTATATTAGCTTTCCTTGGCAGTCTCCCACCTAAGCACTGAGCAGACTCTTCTTGCTGGAGATCTGGCAAGTTACCTTACAGATATGATGACACTGTGGGAGGACAGCACATGCACTAACATGGCATCCCTCCCACTGCTGCCCCAGAGCACATATGACATAGGAGGAGATGTTAATGACAGTATACAGCTCTGGTCCCTTGCTCTTCCTTCTGCCTTAATTAAACTTCAGGTATGTGACATGTCTAATGTTGCTATGGATGTAATCACAATCTGTGATTTAGGTTTTTTTTAAAAACTTGGCCTTCTGCTTCTCTCTCTCAAATTTGTCAGCACTAATAGCTTCAGGTACATTGCTGTTTTCAACAGCCACAAGCTCCCAATTGGATCAGTTGCTTTTACTTAGTCAAAATGCTTCAAGCTATGGTCAATGATCTGCACACACTCAAATTGTGGGGTGAAAAAGGGGGAAAGGCAAAGATGGGAGAAGGTGATAAATCAGAGCAGCTCCTTCAACACCTCTTCCTTCACCAAAGACAATATCCAGTCAGCAATAATAGATTCACTTCACTCCTTACGAGCCTCTTCTTCAACAGCATTTTCTTTTTTCCCTTGGGCAGAAGTACAAAGATGTGGAGCCAACTCTGAAGATCAAAGAGGTGGATGGCTTGGAGCTGGTGAAGAAGTTCTCGGAGCAGATGGAAAGCATGCTCCGCAGGAAGGTCGAAGCTGTCGAGGTAGGACCACTGGGGCTCTGGGAAGGGAGTCCTCTCCTTCAGTCAGCCCCAGAGCAGCAGGCACAGGCCTCCTGCCTGTTCCAGGAGTGTGTGGGCGCAGAGGTTGTGTGAGGACTTTGCCCAACCAAACTCCTGCTGGTGCGGCTGGCTGCTCACTCTGAGCTTTAAGCAGACACTGGTGGGAGGATGTGGGCGTTCAGACAAGGGAATGCTGGCTTCTCCCTCAGCCCAAAGGAGGAAATAAGATTAAAAAAAGTCTAAGAATAAATATGAGGGAACGAACACTCTTTTAGGAGACAAGAGCTGTTTTAAGAAGGGGAAAAAAAACCCTCACAAGTGAAAATAAAGTTCATCCTTGCATAATGCACTCTGGCCACTGAAGACTAGTAGCTTGTTTCAGCTGTGTGTGTGGCTTAAGGGAAATTTCTTTACCCCCTGAACATGAGCTGCAAGGAAGGTGCTTGGATTTCTAGCTGTGTACATGGGGAAGTGTGGAGGAGGTGGCAAGAGGTCTTTAGCTGTTGCTGTGTGGGAGATCAGAGCAGGTAATCGTTATGGCCCCTCTTACTTCCTGCATCTAAGGATTTATCATATTCCTGTGTATTTACCTTCTATGAAAAGCATATTTCTGTAGTCACAGAGCCTTGACTGTTTAAGGCGTCTAATGTGGAAAAGTCATCCAGAAACACATCATTTGAGTCTCAAAGTGAAATGTGGGCATATTTAAACCCAGAGCTTTGGCCCATAACATTAAATTCTTAGCCAGACTTTTCCAGTGTTTGGATTGCCTTATCCTTTGTAAAGGAGCAAAACGTAGTTTTGCTGAGACTGTTGCTGATTGTGCAACCCTGAAAACATGTACATGTTTAGTTGGATTCCTTCCCAGTCTGTACCGATTGAGAATTAGTGCCCTGAAGCATCATACTGGAGAACACTGGCTGATTTTTACTGCCTTCCATAAATGGTAAGAGCTTATAAATGGCCACAGCATCACTGAGCCCTTTATGAAATCAAGTCATGGTCTTTGTCTCAGTAACAATACCAGACTGAGACTCCCACAAGGCCTTTTCCTTTGATGAGATACTGACATCAAGCTGGGTCTGAGAAGTCTTTCCCATGGCTTTTTGGAAGGGTTCATGGAAAATGAAATTAAATCTCTGTCTGTTGTTTCTCTAAATGGACCTGTTTCTGTTTGCATACGTCCTGTGCTACCTAAAATTGCTCAGGGCTTTAGTTGGGACTCTGCAGTAAATAGGTGTGAATATACTTGGCAATAAATAGCTGCAAATATACCTTCCAAGCTATAAAGTTGCAGCACAGAATAATAGGTCAGCCGAAAAGGAGAGAAAGAGGGAAGTTTATAGCTCCATGATCTTTTGTGGTGAAAGAGGCAGTCGTGCCTTTTCATTAACTGTGTGAATGGCTGATACAGCTGGAAGAGCTTCTGGAGGGCTTGCCACAGCACCCACTCATCTTTCTTTCTGTGTGCTTGCATTAGAGGTTGGTGGAAGCAGCAGAAGACGCAGATCTGAACCACGAGTACAACTCCTCACTGGAGGTAAGTTTATCCTGGTCAGTGACAAAATATGACACACATCCTCAGAGAGACCGGTCAAAAGATAGGCCTAGCCAGGAACCCAGCCACCTCGGGTTCCTGGACAGGTTAGGAATCTCCTTGCCTTCAGGACACTCAGCTTGTCTAGAGACTACTGTGAATAAGAGACTCCCCTGGCAGATCCCAAATCTAATAACACCAAAGAGATTAGTTCTTTGGCTTTGGGAGGGGAAGGATTTGGGAAGACACTAGGTTGTGTGATATTATTGGCATAACTTTTACTGCAGACCAACACTATCATTATGTGGTGCATTAGTGCAAATTAGCTGGCACTTGGTGGGTTACTTGACTGGAAAATGAGCTAAAAATTGAGTGTGAATGAGCAATGAGGAGGATGCTGTTACAAATACTCACAGCAAACTGTTAATCCAAATGAACTGAGCTTCTCACCATCTTTCTCCACAGCTCCCACCATCTTTTCTCTACCAGACAGGCACCCACTTGTCAGGACTTCCGTTAGGTGAAAGTTTGGTGCTGTCCAAGCAATTTGGATAATTGGCTTTCTGTTAATAACTGTTAGTTGTGGCCAAGCTATGGGATTATTGCTGGTGAGGGGAACTGGAGGGAAAATTCTGTTCAAGGAAGTTCTCTGTCCGTAGTACAAGCACAGATATATTAGCAGAAGTGCAGGCTAACCCTGCAAGTAGACATCTCAGTGCAGGGAAAAGCTGAGAATGACAACACTTGTTGAAATCAGACTACCTACTAATTTAATCTCTCCTACCTCTTTGTTTGTTTGTTTGTTTTTTGTTGGTTTGGTTTGGTTTGGGGTTTTTTTGTTGTTTTTAAGAATCACATTATTCATGGTAGTTGGGTCACCTGCATTCCCAGTAAGGGTCATGGGTGAGTTGACATATGTGATTTGGTATTTGCACCCTCTGAATACTGATGGTGCTTGAACATAAATCCTTAAATAACCTCTGGCTAAGATAAAATCAGCAAAAACGTCTTAAAAACAGGTTATCCAAGGACAAAGAATGTCCTAAATGTACTAAAGTGACTGTAGATAATAAATCCCCATTGACCTTCACAGGGAGGAAACTGTGTTGTCTTTGAGCACCTTCTGGTTGATCCTTTGCTCTCGATGAGTGCCTGCCACTTGGAGTGACAGAATGAGGGGATAATCCTAGCTGGATGTACACCAGGAGTTAACCCTAGCAAATGACAGCTGTTGAGACAGGGCAAGTAAGGTCAGCACTGACATGCCTTGTATTAAACCTGGGAGCCAGACCCAGTGAGACACTCCAGCTCTCCAGCTAATCACTTAAATACCTCTGAGGGACCACAGGAGTCTGCCACTGTGTCCCTTTGCTCTTCAGTGGCTCTTCTGCTCCGGGCTATGGCCATGCTTTCAGTCATTTCTTATTGACAATAAGAAATTGGCCAGCAATCATCATTTTGGCATGACACAGCTTTACAATTTTCATTTGACACTAGCTTGTTTGTTGGCTCATCTTGATCCTGTTTGAAGCCCCAATTCCCCATATGTCCCTTCTTTATGTTTTAAAGAGTGTTTTTTTCAGCCACACTGGTAATCGTCTGTCTTATTCTCTCTTCGTCTTTCTCTTTTCCATTGTCTTCATCAACAGTTTGATTACTACAACTCTCTCCTGATTAATGAGAAGGATGAAAATGACAATTATGTGGAGCTTGGAGATGAATTCATTTTGGAGCCAAATGAGCATTTCAATAACCTGCTGGTGAACACAACATACAGTGATATCCAGCTCCCCACCAATGTCTACAACAAAGGTAACGGCCTCTACTTTCTCACTACTGGTAGATTGCTGTGGGAATTATCAGGAATGATACTGGAAACAAGGATGGGAATAGAAAAAAAAACTTACAGGAAAGAAACCAAGGCTGGAAAGGTACTATGCCAAGGCACAGTCATGCCTGTGCTGTCCTCTATCACTGTGACAGGACTTAGGTATAATCTGCTCTTGGAAAACCTCTTATGATGGACAGTCTTCCATCTTAGGCAGGCAGTATATTCTCCTACAGTTCATTTACTCAAACAAAGATGCTGTGAAAACTGATGTGACTTTATTGGCGATTGTTGCTCTATAGGAAGGGTTGGATCTATCAAGGTCTTTAGACGTCAAGGATCTCCTTGATTTCAGCTGAGAACTGAGACTCCAAGTACCTTCGTGTCAGGAGACATTAACACTTGACAAGGACACTCTTAATGCTCAGTGAGCATATCCATAGGTGACTAAGGATGATTCACAATTGCTGCTAGGACATGACTGTTCTGGGCTGTTTTCTGTTCTCAGCAAGCCTTTGGCACCTTGGCAGCTGCAGGAGCCCAGGGAGGCACCAAGGGCACATTCACAGCACTCCAGCTACACCCCAGAAACGGGTTCATCTCTGGGCTGGTGAGCACACAGCCACATCTGCAGGTTGAGACACCAGTTGCAACTGTCTTAAGTTTACAGCTCATTTTGGCCAACATTCAGAGCTGCCTGTGCTGGCTCCTTCCTTGCCTCCCTATCAGCTCTTCCCCTTGTGTATTTTTGACAAGAAAAAAAAAGTGCCATTGCTTCTCTCATCGATGGAGCTCATTTAAAGTCTTCAGGGCCAGACAGGGCAGGCGCTGGTGACTATGCTCACAACTGCTGTGTTATTTAGAGAGACAATAGAGGGAGTTCTGTTTCTCCCATGATGTTAAATTAGTTCCATCTGGTCCAACAGCCCCAGACACTAAAATCTTGCTCACAATAGAGCCACCAGCAGAGCTGGCTGTGGGTAGATACAGCAGAGCTGCACAGTGTAGTCTGCTCCCCTCAGCAGAGGACAGAGAGGTGGTCAAATGGCCACTGGCAGAGACAGCAGAGAGGCACTGCCCAGCTGGCTGATTTCCTGCCTGCACAGCTTGGCACAAACTAACCAGCTCCTCTGGCTATGGCTGGAGCATGAGCAGGACATGGAGGGCTGCTTCCATGTCCAGGGATCCTCCAAGGAGCAGTGTCCAGCAGTACTCACTCCTTCTTTTGCAAACAGCATCAAGCCTGGCTCTCCACAGCTCTTGTGGCTCTCCATTCCTATGAGACTTACTTTGACCTCATCACTGGGGAGTCACAGTTCATTTTTTTCCCTTATTTTGACCAAAACTGCCTTTAGTAAAGTAACTAAACAGGAAGTGGTAGGTCAAATCCCCAACCCTTTCAACATTAATACAATGACCAGTTTCTCATGATTCCCTGTTTCTACTGCTGCTGCTCTTTGGTCTCCTGAGACAATGAGTCAACGCAGACACCAAATATACGTGGCCTCTTAGGAGTTCTTGGAATCTGCAACATCCTATTGATTCTGATGAGATGGGGGTGAGGTAGGACAACCCAGGCTTTGTGAGAGAAAGGGCAGGCAAAGAAAAAAAGAAAGAATTGTTGAGGAAAAGACAAAAGAGAAACTGTGTAAATTCTAGGACTCCTCTGTCTTAGGTAGTTACATCTAGCATGAATTTCAACACAATTTGCAGAAAGGCTGTTAGTGGTGCATCAGGCAGTTGCTTTTCAACAGCCACAGGTCCCCTCTCAGGTACCAGCTGTATGGTGTGCCAGCTGTGCTTGGCACAGTGATGGTTGTCTGGGTCTCTCAGAGCATTCTTCCAACCAGATGTAATGCTCAAGGGCAGACAAGGCTGGAAAGAGAAATGAGGTTAACAGAGTATGACCATGCTGAGATCACCTGCAGGGGCCAGTGGTGACCTGACCTCCAGGATTTATTTTGAATGATGCATCCAACTCCCTGCCCAATGCAAAAGCTTTGGATAAGGGTGCATTCCTCCTGGAGTTTCCTGTTCCCATCCCTTTTCTCTGTCAGGGTGGCAGATGTCCTTCCTTCTTTTACACACTTTTTTCCCTGTTTTTATTCTTCCCCCCACAGACCCTGCCATCCTTAATGGAGTTTACATGTCAGAAGCCCTGAATCCTATTTTTGTGGACAACTTTGAAAGGGATCCCACGCTGACCTGGCAGTACTTCGGCAGCTCCACTGGATTCTTCAGGCTCTATCCAGGTGAAAGAGAAGATTGGGTTTTGTCTTTCAGTGCAACACAACAGTTTTGCAGGACAGGGTCTGTGCCATGGAAGAGTCCAATTTGGGAAGGCTTGGGAGCATTGAAGGGTAGGGTGCAGTGAGCAAAATACTTCTTGCATGGGCTGCTTAAGCTGAAGGAACAGTGTCCAGCAGGCATAAACCCCTTTTTCCCATGGGAACCAGCCCCCCAGGTATGTTGCCCTTGCAACCCCAGAGGAGTCTGATGGCAGGGGTATGCCCTGGGCAGGCTGCCCTCCAAAAAGCTCACAGAACACTATGGCAGACCTCCCCCATGGCAGGGCTCCCTGCCTCATGCTCCCCTGGGCTTTTTAGTAGTGGCCAAAGCCTCTCTCTGTCTCAGAGGACACACGTGGCAGATGCAGCTGGCCAGCCTGACTTGTTATCCACTCACCAGCTGTGAGTGGCACATAAGGTCATGGCACGAGAGGGAGGTCCCATGCTCAGAGGAACCCACGAGATACTCTGCAGCTGTAGCTTGGCCTGGTGGCCGCTCTGTCAGATGGCTGCGTGCCCTTGTTCTGTGACCTGTCACGTGCTGGGGAAGGGGAAAGCAGGGATGACTGTGAACAGAGCCTTTAGCAGGGAATCTGGGACACATCCCTGTCACCGCTGCTGCTTTTTTATGCTCTCAACCACCCTTGGGGAGAAAAATACGTTGTTGAGAACTACATCAAAGTGGCAAAAAGTTCAAAGTACATCCAATTGCTCCCCAAATTTGAACAGACTACGCCCAGGTACATTTTTTAACAAAAACTTTATAAACAGTCTACCGAGAACTGCCAAAGACCACGCAGCTCTGCTTGGGTTTCTGCAGAATGGGTGCTGCTGTTGCTGGCCAGACTTGTGTGCCCCCGCTGAGTTGCTGGGTCTTGGCAGTGAAGAGCAGCAGTGCCAGTGCCTGGGGAGCAGGGAGCAGATGCCTGTCTGTGTGTATTGATTGCTCTTTTTGCTGCTCTATTCAGGGATAAAATGGTTACCAGATGAGAATGGAGTCATCTCCTTTGACTGCAGAAACCGTGGCTGGTAAGTTTTGGAGAGATGTGGCCAGAGCACCGTTCAGCCTTCCTCTCTCTCTCTCTTTTCCAAGGTGACACCTTGGTGAGTTGCTGAGAAACAGTTACTGTCCTGTACTGCTTTTGTGAGAGATGGGGGGGTACATAAACACAGGGAATGGCAGGAAACCCTATCACCTGCCAGCAACAGCTTTTCATATGGGATCTGCACAGAAATCACCAGTGTATCCTTTCTCTGTCCCATTCTCCTTATAATTTTGCAATTTGGTGGAAGGGACACTTAGACTCTGGAAATGTGGCATATTAACTCAGTTTACTCAGCAGACCTAAAGAAGGCTTTAGCAATGGTCACTCTTGGACATGTGTCTGGAGCAGGCCCAGCACTTCCCAATGCAGGAAGTGAGGTGCTGGGGCCAGTGGAAGGGGCAGGTTGGTAGGAAGGGACCTCTGGTAGGATCAGCCTGATCCTGCTGGATAGCTGTGCTCGTGGCCTGTGTTATGCTGTGGGTAGCACTGTGTGACAGCAGTATGTTCAGCATTCCTCCTTCCTGGATGCTCATCCTGCTTCCTTGTATTCTTCTTTTTATACAGGTACATCCAAGCGGCCACCTCTCCCAAGGACATTGTCATCATTGTGGATGTCAGTGGAAGCATGAAGGGCCTGAGGATGACCATTGCCAAGCACACCATTGTCACCATTTTAGATACTCTGGGAGAAAATGACTTTGTCAACATCATTGCAGTATGTCTGTCTCAATTCTAATACTGAATTGCCTTCCTTGTGCCTCTTACCAACTTCTCCTTCCCCTTAGCAAATTACAGGCATTCCAGTGATGTAGCTACAGGAGCTATGTTGGATGGGAGATTAACAAAAATTACCCTTGGGAAGTCAGTTTTGTGTGGTCAGCAGGGTGGCTGTCGAGTCATTTCACCTCTCCTCTACAGAGCATGTCAGCTGCATCTTTTTGCTTACTTGAGGGTGTGACTGCAACAGATAACAAGGAGCTGTAGAGAGATGCCTAAGATAGCAGGGACCTGAGCTAATAAATTCACCTAGCTTAGAATGCTGTCTTTGGGTCCAGTAGCAGTGTAATCCTCAGGATAATGTTTCCAGGCTAGAAAATTACCACCATGTGCCTTTTTGTGCACCAGCACCCTGCAAGGCTGCCACTCCAGAGTCAATCTGCACAGGCCTGCATGGAGTTTGGTCAGGTTGTCTTGGTGTTATTCTCTTCCTTTTTAAGGCCTGACTAGGATAAGGATGGGCTGGTTACCCACAGAGAACTGGTACCACTGACCACAGAAAGCAAAACTTTTCCATGACTTTTGCCAAGACTGGTGTCAGGTTAAAGGCTGCTCACCTTCTAATTTTCAAGGCTATTTCAGCATCATGTCCTTCCCCAAGCTCCTTTCCACAAAAGCTTGCCAGGGCACAGAAACTGAGATATAAAGTCTACTTTTTGTCTATAGCTTTTTATGTTAGATAATTAGAAACTCCAATGGCAACAGCTCCGTCTTTATATGGCTGGACAGATGGAAGAGTGAACAGTGTTGGCAGAAAAATGGAGAGGAGTCATTAAGGAGTTTGAAATATCATCTGTTCTTCAAAAACAATCCCAGAAAGACCATATAATATATATATTCCTTTACTGCACTCGCACCAAGAACCTACTGGCTCAGACATATTATAGCCTGACCTCCTACTGATCAGCTGAGCCTCTTATGAATTACACTCTTCTGAACCTTGTAGGAAAAGGTTTCCACATCTGAGGTAAAACGTGCCAGGCTAGAAGCATACACCCCACTAATTATCACCATTTTGTGGAGGTGTGGTTACCGGGTATGTTATTACTCAGCTGTGTACCCAGAGGCACCAAGCTTCAGGTTACAAAACCACTCGCAAAGTTCAGCTGGTGGCTGGGGACTCACAAAGTTTGCAGAAGTCAGAACTATGTGCAAATAGTGCTAGAAGGGGCACGAGCTAATGGAGTGTGGATAAAAACTCTACAGTGTGAGTGGGGAAAAAGCTGTGTAGGTATGCTCAGATAGAACTCATCAAAACACTGTAATTAATGCGTTATTTAAACAAATAGATGATTTATCAAAATTGTAATCTGCCATTATCACTGTAAGCAATTTTAAAGGGAAATAGGTATAAAATAGCATAATGCTCCATACTGCTTTCTGAACATCCACCAAAGACATGAACCCATTTTGTGAATTTTCTCCCATTACAACCCCTTTCTTTCCCTTTTCTCTTTGCAGTACAATGATTATGTTCATTTTGTTGAACCCTGTTTTAAGGGTATCCTGGTCCAAGCAGACAGAGACAACAGAGAGGTGAGTACCGGGCTCCCATCAGTGTAATTCAGGTAGCTCTCTTAATGTGAGAATTACATGGGGTTAAGATGCCGAGATACGAAACTCCAGGGACAAGGAACAACCATCTCACAGCAGCGTGTGGTTTGCATTTCAGAAACAAGCATCAGTTCAGTGGTGTGTACTGGCTCTGAGGTTCATCTTTGCTTACGTGAAGTCACTGTAGCATGGGGTCAGCTGGCTAACTAAAGAGCAGCAACCAGCTTTCCTGGGTCACCACTGTTGGACCACGAGCAGACCTAGTCCAGGCTGCTGTGGAAAAACAGTGTGCAGAGGGCAAACCAACTTCAAAACCCCACATCTTCAGCCTTCAGAAGGGAGAACAACCAGCCCTTTCCTGGTGAACGTGTTCTCAGCCTGGTCTTATCCTTCATCAGGGTGGACTGCCAGCAAGCTTTCCCTGGTGAGGGATTTTGCTGCTCTGATCCAGGAGGCCTCTGCAGCCCCAAGGTGGTCAACCTGCATCCAGCTGCTCTACCACCTTCTGGGCTGACCAGTATTTTTAGCTCTTCATACTGGCTTTTTTTCTTCCTTTTTTTTCTCTCTGTATTAATACCAGAGAGGGTAGCACATTCCTCCATGTCTTCAAAAACTAGATTTCTCTCCAAATAGCTTTTCCTGGCTTGGTCCTCGGTCACAGAGTATGATTCCAGAGGGTGATGTCTCCTACAGTGTTTCCTAAAGGATCCCCAAGCCTTTTGAACACTATCTTGCAGAAAGCACTCCGAGGTTTTAATTTACAACAATGCCTCTTAAGTAGTAGACAAGCATTCAAATGTTTTCTTCCCCCCCCCAGTCCTGTTGCTTTTGCATGCACAGGATGTTCTTTACCTGAAGGAATGGATAAGGGAAAGTCAGATTTCTAGTGGGTTTGTCCCTGGCATGATTTTTCATGGGCTGTCAATGGTTCACAGCACAGAGACTGAGAAATGCAGTGCTGCTGTAGCTGCATGGGCAAAGGTGTAACCTGATTGTGCCACCAATGGAGTGGCCATGTGACTTTCCCACCTCCCTCAATCCCAGTGCTGACCTCCCCTGCCCCGCCAGCAGTAGTGGAGGAGCAGGAGCCCAATGGCATGAACTTGTCTAGGTTACCCTTTCCTCCCCTGGCCAAAGGGAACACCCTGCCTACAACTCATTCCTGTCTTTCTCACTCTCTTCTTGCCAGCACTTCAAGCAGCTGGTGGAAGAACTGCAGGCAAAAGGAGTGGGGACTGTGAGCAAGGCTTTGACAGAGTCCTTCAAAATTCTGCGGGAGGTAAGAGTCGGTGTTGGTGCTCGTGTTGGGCACAAGAGTCCCTGCCCATTCCTACATTCCCCTCTACAAGTGGTGACTCAGCACGTCCCTCACTGTGTTGTGCTGCAGGGGGATGTGGTATGAGCTGATCTCATGGACCCCAAATTTGTGACAAGCGGTGCAGGGGGAGGTGACCCAGCTCTGGGGAGGTGTTGGTTTGTGCATGATGTCTGTGGCCACTGATCCCTGCCCAGGAGGGATGAGGAACCAGCAAGGCTGTGGCTCTGTGAGTCTTTTTTTAATGAGATCCACAACTGTGCTTTGACCAAGCACCTTTATAGATGGTGGCAATAACATATAACTGATCAACTGAGGGCAGCAATTCTGGCTGTAAGTAATGTTATTAGTGAGTAGTAGATGACAGTGAAGACATGAAAGACTATTCTCAGGCTTCAGATTTATTTCAGTGTCACTTTGCTGAGTATCAGTGCTTGGGGAAGAAATCACAGGTCCAAGAGAATTAATCACTCTGATTATACCCCGTGATAAGAATCATAAATGATTCATTGCCTTCTCTGAACAATAGGGACTTCAGTAGCCTGGAGATAAACATGCAACTTAGCTCTATTTCTTAAGGAATGGTAACAAAAAACCCACCAAGAACCAGCTGAATACCCCCATCTCTTCATGGCACTGTCCATAGTGGGGTTGGCATAAAGAAGCCAATGCCTTTGGTGCTGACAAAAATACATATACATACAATGTTAGTGGCCATAATGATGATGTGGGTGTTAAAGGTGGGCCAGAGGTGTGACTCCCGGGAAGGATTCTCCTCTCTCACTAATCCTGAAAACTGAAGGTGTAGGTTTGTTTGGCCATGGTAATGCTATTCCTAATTTATGCCAGTGCTGGCATGATCGGAGTTGAACCCAGGGAGGGTTGGAGCTGACCTGACTTGTCACTGGTAGTAGAAGCAGAGTGGTTTTAATGACTACCTGAGAAGAGTGGGATGTAGACTTGGCATGGCAGTAATAGGCTGGCAGCACTCCGAGGAGTTCAACATCTTTGGAGGAAGATAGTTACTGAGATGACCAGGGAAGCAGTAATGATATGAAACTAGAACAATTACATGGTCTAGATGCCTGCTAGGTTGCCTACAAATTTGTATTCTTGCAAATTACAAAAAAACCTCAACAAACCCACAAACACAAAAAAACACAAAACAAATAAACAAAAATACTTTAAAATTTTTTTTTATTAATATTTGAAACCAAAGATCCAGAGCCTATACTGGGCTGCATTGTATAAATCAGAATATTTAAAGAATTTTTGCACCAGAGGAAAAATTACTTCCTAATGTCCAATGTAGCCCTGGTATGTACAGTGACGACAGGTTAAAGAAGCCCAGTGCAGTACAACTGCAGACATTCTCAAGCAGCACAGCTATGAAGGTCTCAGTGGAGAATCATAAAGCACAATGCTAAAGAAAGTCTGCTTGCCCCAGATGAGATAGCAGCAGGTCATTCCAGGCACAGACACCAAAACTTTCTGGTTCACTAATAGCTAATGAGGAGAGCTCACACCTCCTTTCTGACAGGCATGGATCATCCACTAGACTAGGCCATCTTCAAGCCTCCAGGAGGCAGAACCTTTATAAAGCCCTGCATGCTTCAAGACAGGCATGCCCATGGGAAATGGAAGGTACATGGTAAAACAGCTGAGACAGAAAAAAGTGCCCTCCACTGACATAGCTAGACCAAAAATACCTCCAAAGAGAGACTGATGTCCATGCAGCCCAGTGGACTAACATGATTCCACTGCAGTAATAGATAAGAAATTATTTGTAGGTAAAGAAGTTATTTTTTTTCTATTTGGCATCAAAAATGCAGTCAACAGTTTAAGCAGTCATCACTTCTCTTGATCCTTTTTGATTCTCCCTTGTCTAAGGAGCTTGAAACAGCTCCAAGATGGCTCTTGGACAGTGCTGCAGGACCCAGCAACCTGCTCTTCACTCACAAGGTGAAGTACTGCTTTCCTCATGCCTTTTGCTATCTGGGAGAAGGCAACTGGCTCAGACATTTTAGCATCATTCCTTTGAGCACCTGCAGATGAGGAAAGGTGTCACATTCTTCTGCATCCTGGAAAAAGCGGTCCATAAAACAGTAGTTCAGAAATGGTATCTTTGCTGCCAAAGAAAGGCATGAAACAGGGCTAAACATCTCTTCCACCCAGCCTTCCTTCCCCAGTAACACTGAGTGCAGCTTTCTTGCAGTGTGTCTTCCACTGTAGCATGGACCATGACTGTACTCTTCAGCACAATGGGACCTCAGCCCACGGTCATTGAAGCCATCAGCTGAGAGCCTTGTTCCCAACCAGCTGTGGGGCAGCTGGAGGTGCAGCAGGAGTCCTGCAGGACCTCCTGTGTCTTCATCCCAGGATTTCTGCCTGGTGACATTCACAAGAGACAGACACTGTGTCTCTGTGCACACACAGCAGCCCCAGAGGCTGCACATACACAGGCAATGCAAGCGTAGAAACGTGCCTGTTGTCCTGCTGCAGCCTTCCCCTGACTGCAGCTTCCCTGGTAAGGGCTCCTCTAGAGAGTGCCTTGATATCACCAGCTGGAGCACCCCAGGCTCTGCAAGCACCACAGCTTAAGGCAGAAGGGTACCACCTGCCAAGTGCTCATATGGCTTAAGGGCTCTCTGAAATCTTCTCTTAGAGATTCTTAAATCTGTATCAGTAATAGTGGAGGCAAAGGTTTTTTCATCAGTGTGCCTGGAAACAAGTCTGTGCTACTGCAGTCCTGCAGGCAGGAGAAAAGGGAACTTCGGTGGACTTGACCACCCCCTTCTCATCAGGCAAGATTGACATTCTCAGCTTGTAATTGTAGCTGTTCCTCACAGACTGCCCTGTTATTGTTCACAGGAGCACACGCAAGAGAATGAAAATGAAAATTGCTACATCACACTGATGAAACAGGCTTTGCTGATTACAATAGACAACCAGTAATAATATCTGTAATGAAAGTGACTGCAAAATTTCCCTGGTAATTTTCCTCAGTCCAATTGCTCATAGAATTAATAGCCCAGCAGAGACCTACTCAATGAGGTATGAGTAGCAGAGAGGGTATGAAGAAGAGCACGAATCTCTCACATCTTTGTTTTCTTCCATTATGTTCTGGGGTAGACAGGGCATATTTTAATCCATGACGCAATTTGCAGAATGGTTTCAGGAGAACGGTTATCCAGAGCTTCCCCTGCCCCTCTCTGCCACGCTCAATAAACCACTTATACTTTCTAATTCAATTTAGCCACACGCCAAAGTGGTTTCAATGTAATAAGCATCCCAGGGAAACGACGGTCTTAAGCACACGTTTATGAAGTGCTTCAGAGTTCTCAGGTGTTAAGTGCTATCTTTTGAGCTCTTCTCTTATTTATCAGTAATCTATCTCCCTGTTATCTTCTCTTCTGTTTCAACAAGCTCTGCACGTCTTGTTCTCTCACGCTTTTCCTGCAGGATTTATACCCCTTTGTTCTGGCTGCTGCTCTGCTCGTGGCTGCTTCCAGGCTGTCTTCCCTGAGACACCACGCTCCCAACAATGTGTGAGTGCTGCAGCTGAGAGCTATCGAGTGCTAAGCAGAGCAGAATAATTGCCTTCCCTGTTTTACACACCGTAGTCCTCTTAACACAACGTAAGACAAGAGCTATGTTTTTTCAGACACTGTCACATCGTTAATTCCTATCCAGCTGATCTGTCTCTGCATTATCCCTCTCCAGGCAGTATCCACCTTCCTGTTTGGTATTTGAACCACTGACTCTCCTTTCCAAGGTACATATGTGTGCACACATATACATATGCAAACACCCTCCCCCAATCCTAAGAGAGACATACAAATATATTCATATATTTGTTATATATTAATCTTTTAAGATTAGATAGCACATTAGATAGACCAGATGATCCTTGAGGGACCCCTTCCAACCTGGTATTCTTATGATTCTATGAAAATCTGTGACACTTATGTGTCCTCCTTTCTCAGAACCCACTCAGAGTAAGTATTTTGAAAGCTAATGCTTTACCCATTCTCTGGAGGACAAGAAATGCCAAGTTCAGCTTTCCAAGGCCACCTTGGAACGTTGTCTTCTCTTAACATCAAGATGCTTTAATCATGCCTTGACTCACTGCTGACCTCAGAAATCACAAAAAAGTTCAAGTTAACTGAGTAGGTCTCTCCAGAATGATTATAGGTGATAAAACATTATGAAACTGGTAACAAACTGGATTTGAGTGAGGCATAAAATTCTGAGTAACTCGAGCAAACTGGTGCTATGAAGAGAATGAACCCATCTGCTGATGTGAGTTATCAAAAATTTGTGGTCTCTTATGCTCCACTTGTGTGAGGAAACATCTCATTTGTGCACTCACAACTGTGTTACTAACTTTTTTAGCAATGAGCTAAATGTTTAAGGACAACTTACCCATCTAGTTTCATCCCTTCTTGTAACACATTTTCTGTTGATCCTCTCTTCATCCTTTGGGATCTCATACAGTTCCAGTCAGGTCTCAGCTCATGAGGCAAGTAGTTCAGCTATACCTTCTGCAATTCTTTCCCTTCATGCTGAACACAGATTATTCATATGCTTTCAATTAGCTTTCTCTTTAACTCTACCACTTTCTGATCCTGCCTGTAATTCTGTCTTTTCCTTGTTTCTTATCACTTCAGCAGGTACCCAGCCACTACAATATTGTCCTTTTGATGATCAAGTATGGAGGCTGTAAAGCATCTCTGTCCGACCATTTCCCTCTGGTTTTTTATCAGCTGGCAACATACTCTTTTTATTCCCTCTTTTGCTTCTTCTCTGAACGTTTATAAATGTTTTCTTTATCCCAGTCGCATTTTTGGACCTGGATTTTACAGTGTGTTTTTCAAGACATGCAAAGCTCAGAATTTCCTGTTTACCAGTTCTTATTGTTTTGCTTAATTTCTCATTTCTTCTGCACTGGCTGTTTCCTTCTCTACTGCTAATTTTCTACCCATGAGACGCTTTTCACCAGGTTTGAATTTTCAGTAGTTCTGGAGGCCACTCCAGAGGCAGGTCTGCATAAGAATAGGGCAGGAGGAGATGAGGAGGGGCTGCTCAGTCCTCTGGCCAGATGTGTACATAATCAGCACGTGTGCCTGCACATCTCTGAGCGATGGTGATGGTTTCTATTGCTTAGCTAGTAACTCTGTGCCAGGTTATAACTGCAAAGCAAATGGCAATGAGCAAACAAGGGAGTACAGGAGACTGTGACCCTGAATTAATTAGATCATGCCTGTTAGTCCTGGCAACGTGACCAAAGTTCTATAGGAGAACATGTAGCTCTGTGCTTTTTCCTCTGATCCAGCTCTAGCCCACATTTCTTTAGACATCTATTCTGTGGACATATTATTCCTCATCTCCCCTTCTTTCACGCTCCTGAGACTTCAATCAGAGGAGGGAATTATGCTGAGAGCTTGATGTGAATGCTGTCAGATCATTTGCTACAGCTGCAACCAGTCACAAAAGGACCTAAAACCCAAGGATTACCTCCTTGTTCATTTGTTTTCTAAATCTGTCTTTTTAATCTCTATTTCTATGACACTGATGATCTCATTTTCCCTGTTGAAAATATCATCTACTCCTGTAATTAGGAGATTGCTAGTTCTGATGCAGCATCTAATTTCTCAGTATCTCAGTATTATGAAATCTGAAGCAAGCTTCACGAAGAGATGTCTTAAGTAGTTTGATGAAATGGTGGGTGACCTTAATTGAGCGTTAATTTAATAATAATCTAAACAAACGTTGCAGATTGCAACATTTTGGACTAAGCTGCTTTTGTAACTATAAGGTTTGCAAATCTGTGATCTGAGCCTCATTCTAACAGCATCTCCTGCACCATCGTAGCCCCATGCCTCCCTGGTGGACACTCACACTGTCTGTTCTCTGCTAATCTGCATGCAGTTGATCTCTGTCCTAGAAATAGCTCACTTGAGGCTCTTTGTCTTTTTTGTACCTGATGGTCTGCAGCAGAATGCTATGTGGCTGTCACCTCCTTTTCTCCCTTAGTTTTCACCTAAGGGCATCCTGTGCTTGTCCCAGTTGCACACTCTCAGCCTTTGCCCTGAGTCTCCCTGTTGAGCAGGATGAACATGAGCTCTGACCCCTGCTGAAGCTCAAATTACCCTGCAATCAAGTTACACTGATGGGGTTTTTTTCCATGGTACAAAGTATAGCAGCTTTTTGGACAACTGGAAATGGTAGACCTTGGGATATCCCCAGGGCTGTGTTGGAGTGGCCACAGCAGCAGAGTTGCTGTCTGTCTCCCCTCTGAATGTGCTGCTGTGATGACACAAAAGAGGAGGTGGCAGAAGGTGATGTTATGGTGATGTTAGCACTGAACCTGGTAATTTCATAATAAGGGACAATCACAGAGGTAACTGTGGTGAAATTACTGGGGAAATCTGGACTTGGCGTTGGCTTGCAGGTATTGATGGACATGATGTTGATCTGCAGTGGAACTACAGTACCATTCATGTTGGTAAAAATATTTGTCTGTCATAATATAGCATGACCAAAACAGAGGGGAGTTGTGAATTGAACCCTAAAAGACCCAAAAAGTCCCAGTTCGCACTCTGAGCTTTTGTTTTCCCATCCAGTGCTTGCTTTCTTTTTATGCTATTAATCTTGCCACTTGGATATCTTTTTCCTCATTTGTAAGGTATAACTATCCTCTCCAATTTAAAATTGCTGCTGTTTGATATAACCTTACTCACCCTTCAGTTAGTCTCCTGTATACTCTCCATCTCATGCCATTGCCTCTCATTAATCTCTTGTGCAGAGTTGTCATCTCTCCCTCTTTCTGTATCTTTTTTTTTGCTCTGCATCAGTTTCTGTATCTTCCTCTGTTGATTGGACTTTTCCTTGCTCAGAGCACAGAAATGGTGAAATGCAGAAAAAGAAGCACATAGTGCCACCGAGCTGGGAGCCTCAGAAAAGTGGCTGCTTGGTTTTGTACCTTGGATGTCCTCCACTACCTCCACTGGTGGCTGTTAACACCTGTGTTGGTGCTGGATAAGGCACTTAGCTCTCTAGAGCTGGGTACCTGAGGGCATGAGAGGCAAATGGCTCTGCATGCAGAAGCACAAGATAAGCTGTGCTCCATGGCTGTTTTTTTTTGGCTGAAAAAGAGGAAGGGCTTGCCTGCAAGAGCACATCTGTTCAACACCTCTCCAGGTGCCCTTGGGAGCACATCAACGTTTGTACCAGAGTCCCAGTGTACTTCTGCCCTGCCTTAAATATCATTTATGCACAGATAACGGGTCATCTGTCACTACAGTGTATGGACTCCCTATCTGGCCCATCCACAACCTTTCTCAGCTCTGGTGGCAGTAGCCTCCTTTTCTCATGTGCTCCTGCCTTTCTCTGCTATTCTTTGGCAGATTGATGTATTTACCCTGAAATAATGAGTTTGATTTCCTACTCCTCTCACATTCTCTGCCATAAAAAGTGACAGTTACTGCTGTCAAATCAGAATTGCAGTGTTTATGGTCCATCTATAGTTGTTTTGCATAAACGAATGCGACTGTGCAAGATGTGAAGCAGCAGGGAATCGCACCCTTCCTCCACAACGCTTATTTCCCCCTCATTATTTTACTTCTGTAAAGCCTCCCATGTCTACATGTGCGAGGCAGGGCTGTATAAATAAAAAAATTATATGCAGCGTGCGAACACAGCAGTTATTTGAGCAGAGCTCTTTCTGAGTGTGAGGTTTGCAAGAGGAAGTCAGGATCTGGCCCACCGTGAATAAATAGAGTGCAATTACACAGAAGCAGCCTGAGCTGGGATAACTAATGCTCTTCCTCTCTGTTTGTAGTTCAGAGAAGCTGGTCAAGGAGGCTTGTGTAACCAAGCCATCATGCTGATCACCGACGGAGCAGTGGAGGATTATGAATCCGTGTTTGAAAAATACAACTGGCCAGATCGGAAGGTTTGTCTGGGAAGTGATAAGTAGAGAGGGAGAGGAAAGGTGCTATCCTGCTATGGTGGGAATAGAAGAGCACAAGTCAGGATATCAGGCAGAGCTGAGCATTCACATCCTCCAACACCTGTATACCCGTGAGCACCTGGCTGTAAACACAAAACAAAGCAGCCAGGTAGGAGCCTGCTGCGGAGGTTTTCAAGGTGGTAGGATTACAAATGGGTATCTGTAGGTCAGTAAAGAGGGTTTTTTCCTACATTTCATTTTCTAAAGGTATGGACAACCAAAGTGTTCTCCTGATAACATTATAAAGGCTGAGTTGAATACTTAAAAATTTAAAAAAAAACCCCACCAAAACGCCTTTTTGAAAATAGTTTTAATCCTGTGCAGGACTGTTTATAATTGGTCCTGTTTGGGAAAGGTTTGGCTATTAGCAGTTCTTATGTTGGGCAGGGAATGGCCCAGAAAAGCTCTCTAGGTGCCCTCCAGCTCTGTTTACTCTGAGGTCTGTAATTACAGTCTTGTACTAGCAGAGCTGACTGTGAAAGCGGAATAGACCAGGGCTCATCCTAAACCCTCCTGATTTATTTGTTTACCTCTTCCCAGCTAGCAGCAATGCACAAAGGGAGAGAGAAGCCTACTGAGAGACCAGAGCAAGGGGCTGTTAAAGCAGTTTATTTCAGGATTGGCTCTTTTGTTGGTGGTCAAACACAAGAGAAATGGTAAAGCTTTCTCTAAATGATTCATGCAGCCAGCTGTTCCCTTGGGTAAAGGATTCCTGTGAGCTATAAACCTCTCTGCATGTGGTTGCTGAGTGCCTGGCAGAGCTGCTATCATAAAATCAAGCAGAATTTGCACTTCTGCCTTGTTATTCAGACGATGCTGGGTGCTACTTGGCTTTCTGGGCTTGTTGTAATCGGAAATTAAGTTCCAGCCCGCAAAATGCAAAACAAATGGTGCAAGAGGCTCCCGTCTCTGTGTGAAAGCAGAGCTATTGCTTTGCACCACAAACAGGCCCTCACACCAGTGTGTAACAGGATGCCAAACCTCAGCCTCAGGATACCAAACCTCAGGATTTGGTAGCACATTACAGACTAATTCTTCTATCTTCGTGTTCTTGTTCCCAGGTCCGGGTTTTCACTTACCTCATCGGACGGGAGGTCACTTTTGCCCCCCAGGTGAAATGGATTGCCTGCAACAACAAAGGTGCTGTGTGGGAATGGTTCCCCAATCCCCATCACACACGTCACCTGTGGACTGCAGCCACAGGGCCCTGGACCCTGCTAAGGCTCACCCACTACAGCTGGGGCCCAGGAGCCCTTGCTTGGAAGACAACATAAGGAAAAATCAGACCCTGCTAGTCCATGTGAAGCGTGTCTGTGTCCAACTAACACCAGTCCTCCATGCTGAGCCACTGCATTTTCCTGTCACGGTGCCAAGGGACACTATGACCGAGATTCATGCTGGCTGTAGTCCACCTAAGTCCCTGTGCTTATTGTGCCCCAGTTGCTGGCTTTTGACAATCTGTCTACAGCTCTGTCAGAGAGCCCGACATCTTTTGGCTGAGATGTAAAACAAACATCACCTCTTTAAAGATTTTACAGCATTTTTCATGAGGTCTGTGGGTTAACCCCTGTATCCTGGCCAAATTCTTTGTGTGTCAGTGGTTTTCACTGAGGCACCAGAATAGCTTGTTAATCCCACCCCAAACCCAATATTCTCTCTAACTGGCATTAAATGACATGAATAGGAAAATCCATTCACAGTAGGTGAGTCACCTCTATGCATTAGGGGCCAGTTAAAAAGTCAATTTAGTCCTATCAGAGTCTACAAGGCTAAAGGAAGAAGGAGGGGGGACAAGTTTTCCATGTTTGGGCTTGACCTGGCCTCAGTGTGCCTGGAGACAGCAGTGCTTGCTACATCAGTGTCCTGCTTAAACAGGAAAAGGAAGGGAAGACTGGAGCTGGGTACATCAGCTGTTTTCCAGTCTGAGCAGTAGTTCCAGCAGACTATGAAATGCATGGAGGCATTTCTACTGAAAATCATTGACAGATGAGTTCCTGACCTGCAGAATGTCTGTGAGCTGGGGATTTTCAAGGCTCAAACATTCACCTATTAGCACTTTGAATTACACATAGTGTTTTTAGGTTTTGTTAAATGAAACAAAATCCTGGATTTTAGATTGTATTCCCAGTGATGAGGTTAGTGACAGGGAATTTGTAGTGCTGTTGGTTCATCATAAAATGTCAGAACGGGGTTCTTCTGAATAACCAGATAACAAAAATATGCTCTTTGCACTTGGATTCTTATTTACCACACTTGAGCTCTGTAGAGGGCTCCCTGATTTTGGTTCTTCTGTTTCAGCACATTGTATAGCTCTTATGGTCCTTGTTTTCAAGCACACTAAGTCTGTTTCCAAATCACAAAGCTTATCAGAATACAAGCCCTTTCACATGACAGTGTTTCCCTAGTGATAGGAAAGTTTTCCATCTATCTGATGTATTCCATCTTGTACCAAGTACAACCAAACCATGTGGTGAGAAGCAGGACAAGGGTCCTCATGACATTACACTATGTTAGCATCTCTAACCAGTTAAGTAGCTAGTGTTGAGGACCGTCTGATAACTTGAATATGTTCTTCCCCTATACTTCTTGTTGTAGTGTTAGACTGTTATAGGTCCATCTGCAGGGACAAAGCCTTGGAAATAGGTTATTTGCACTTTTATCTTTTGCTTCCAAGGGGTAGATGGAAGTAGTCGCCATCCTTGGATGTAAAGCTAGGCAGACTGAAGAGTGCTGGAAAAAAATCTGGAAGCAAAGGTGGGAGTTTGGTCTTAATATAAAATAGCTCAGGGTAAGCAGGTAGGCTGGTGAAATACTTTGTCTGCATATGTTTGACCTTCAGGACCAAAGGCAGCCTCAGTAGTGGAAGGTTTTACCCAATACCCAATGCAATGTTGTGTATTTGCTTTGCATGAATCTGGTTATACCAAGACTCTGACCTTGAGCATTGCTTCAGTATTTTGAGAGAACAGAGTCCGTGCTTCAAAACTAGATTTCCACAGAAACATGTGCCCACAGAAGCTTGTGAATACAAGGCACGTCAAGGCTTTTGTAAACTGGGTAGATAGAGTGTTTGACATCCAGTTTTCTAGCTTTGCACAGGCGCTCATGTAAAAATACGGAAGATGCGTTGGCAGAGTGACTCAAACCTCTGTTTCTCCACAAAGGCTACTACACTCAGATCTCCACGCTGGCGGATGTCCAGGAGAACGTGATGGAGTACCTGCACGTGCTCAGCCGTCCCATGGTCATCAACCACGACCACGACATTATCTGGACTGAGGCCTACATGGACAGCGCGGTAAGCACCTACAGCACGAGCCTTTAGTCGGCAAACAGCAGGGCCTGTGGGCCAAAGTGGCAGAGGTCTTAGGCACACAGCTAGTATGTTAGCCATATAACTTATCCCTGCTTCCCATCTAAATATCTTATGTGTATCAGAATCTAAATAAAGCCCTGAAATTTATGTAATACCGGGAGTTGGCTGACGGACAGAAATTACTGGTCCCTGGCTCTGTTGATACAGACAATGTTTCTTTTCTACTCTCTCCCGGAGCTGAGGTGGGTATGCGGTCTCAGATCAGAATCTGCAGTGACCCAATCGCCCAGGGCTAATCACACAGGCACAACGTCACTTAAGTAGTGCTTCTGTGAAAGCAGGTTACCTTCTAAAGGATTATTCACAGGAAAGATTATCCGTGGCTCAGGGTACAGGTCACAGAGACTGATTTCCTCCAGACCAGGAGCCAACTGCATATTGCTTGCCTCCCAAAGGTACAGATTGCTGGGGAAGCAGGCTTGCTCTTTTGTTCCTTGCTCTAGCAAGGCCTGTCACCACAGTGGTCCTGTGCCCAGCCCTGAGGGCCAAGGACACATCACAAAGGACCAGACAATCAGCACTCCCAACCCCCCTTGCTTTGCCTTAGGCCTGCCCTGTTGGAAGACATTTGGACCACGAGCAGGTGCTGTCATCATGTGGTGTTGCTAAGGCAGCTCTGAAATTCAGAGGGAAGGGAAGGACAAAGGTGTAGATGACACTGAAGGAACCTTCCTGTGCACTTCACCAAACAGATGATGTTCCTCAGTCTCCATCTCCACCCCTTTTTACACTGCTGAAAGAGAAAATTACAGTTTTTCCTTTGTGGTTCTCTGTGCCCTCTATGTGGGAGAGAGTTTTTTTCCCACATTGGATTCTTCACTCCAGAGAAGTGCCTGACTTCTGGACAGCTAGAGATGATCTGAAGTCAGGTTTCCCTCTTCCAGAAACGAACCCAAGGTTTCAGGACTATTTATTCTATCTGAGGAGAAGAATCTTCTAGAAACATTGAGAATGTTTCTGTACACAGTCTCACTGCGGGACTGAATTTGCAGGCTCCAGTCTGGACAACAGCAGCTTTAGGGTGTCTGCCGCAGCCCTGGGGAACACAGACAGTTTTCAGGTTTAAGATCTACAGTGAGAAACATGAGTTCTCTGAGCTGAAGTAAAACTAGGGATAGTGTGCTTAGGTTTGTAGCAGGAAACATGGAAGTCCAGGCTACATATGGTGGTACTCAATGCTGTGCTCAGAGTCGACCATATGAACCCCAGGAAATACCTTCAAGGTTGCCAGGATGGTGCCATCATGGTGTATAAATGTTATAATTGGGAGACTCTTGTAGGAAGGGACCATTCCCCACTTTTGTGCTGTGTCTGACCACTGAGGCTGCAGCCATGGCACACTAGCTCTGGGAGAGTGAAATGGAGATGTCTTTGCTGCCAGGTGAGAGCTGGGACATGGTACTTGAAGGTACAAGGCAAAACCTCCAGAGATGCTACTAATTACCCAGCAAGTTTATTTTATCAGCGGGCTTGCCACCTCTGGCACTGCTGTATGGGGTCACACTTCCCAAGGCAGCCACAGAGATTTGTTTGCTGCATGTTTGTTGCTGCACCTCTTTTCTTGCCTTGTGTCTTGGCTTGCCATTCTCTTCCTCTGTCCCAGCCTCTCCCATCTTTGATTCATTCCTCCATTCATGTATTCATTTATGTGTTCATCCATGTCTCCCACTAGCTGCCACAGTCTGAGGAGGTAACTGCACCCCTGTGTTTTGTGAGCGTGCTGTTTCCCTTGTGCCAGTTGGTGTGTCAGTGCCAGTGTTCACAGCCACAGCTGGCCTGTACATCTTGGGGGGGGTGGGGGACACAGCACTGAAAGAGTCCTCTTGCACTGGCAAGAAGAGGAGAGGAAATGCTGGATGTACTGGGGAGCTGTGCTGTGCTGCTGGTTCAGAGTAGGTAGGGGTGTCTGTGTTGTGCAGTAGCTTAGCTCACCTGATCTCTTTTTCAATATGTCCAGTAAGTGCCAGGGAAGTTTACTTGCTGTGTGTTAGTGAGCATTGCTGTGAATGGGAATTTTCCACAAAAAATCATCAGAATAGTAACTCAAGATATGAGGCTCAAATCCCCATCAAGTGACTGATTATTGACTGGCTCCTTTATGGCTCCTAGTACATATTGTAATGAAGACAGGAGGTCGCTTCTTGCCTTGCTACTTACTTGGCCAAATGAGAGATAAAAGGGGGGGATGTTACTGACAACAAAGGATTAGATTCTTTTGATAGCTTGGCATGTTTGGGAGACTCATTTGCATGTGTCTTACCTGTTTACCTCCTTTCATGTGTGTTTTTAGAGCATCTGTCTTCTGTTGAACTGGGAGCATCTGTTACCCCATTACATGTGCATGTCCTGTATCCCTCATAGAGAAAGCTCACTCTGTTGTATCTGTTTGGATCATGATTTTGTCTCTGTTTTTCGTACACTTAGATGGTTGGGTAACAAGTATATATAAGCAGGCTTTGTGTGTATTTGTCCCTGTTAAATATTTGCCTGTGGTGTTTTTCATTTGTGGTATTCATATGTTAGCAATATAGACAATACCTTGTCTGTGGTTTTGCTCATATTTGTGTTGCTTTTCTCCATTCTGTGCTCCTTGTGTTGGTGGTTTTTACACTCGTTGCATAAGTGTTCATGTCTACACTCCTAACACATGGTGGGTACAAATTGTGCCACCAATTCTACAGGTTCCTGTCTCTTCATTAAAGCAACTCTTCAATTTCTCCTGCTTCAACACATTTCACTGGCTTTCATCCCATCCTCATCACCCCACACGAGCAAGCATCCACCCCAGGATCTCTTGGATACAGAGTATTTAAAAGTGCTGCCATCTGTTTCTCGAGAAGTGTGGGAGGAGGCAAGGAGGTGGTTAATTGTAATCAACATCTGGGGTCCTTGGGAATTCCAGTGCCTTCCATTTGGGTTATCTCTGTTATTGCACTTGCTAACACACGTTCCATTGCTCTGTGGCAGCTCTTTGCATCTCAGGCTCAAAGTCTGTTGCTCATGACGACAGTGGCCATGCCAGTCTTCAGCAAGAAGAATGAGACGGTGAGTGTAACGTGGGCTTTGCTCTCCTTCCTGCCAGCAGAGGTGACAGGATGCAGGGTTTTAAAGCCATTCAGAAGTGCGATAGACCTCTGCCAGGATGGATGGCTGATAATTTATCTGTCAAAATGATAGCCTGTCATGTCCTCTGAATGCTATTTCTTTAAAATACCTCTTAAATATGACATGTCTCTCTGTTTTATCCCTTCCATTTTCAAAATGTGCCTAGTTCATTGACCTTAAAATTTCAGGCTGGAAGAGATCATTACCTTGTCTAGTCCATCTCTTTTATTGCAGATCTTTACATTTCACACAGAGGGTCCTTCACGAACCCAATAACCTGTTTTGGCAAAAGTGCCATTGAAGAAAAGCATCCAGCCCCAAATCTCTCCATTGTGGTTTCTCACTCTCCACTAAAAACTGGTGTCTAAATTCTGCTTTCAGTTTGTCTGGCCTCGTGTTCCTGTCATAATGGCTTCCTCTACTTGATTAAAAAGCCTATACCCCTTGGTACGTTCTCCTGGGAAGCATCTTCTACACTGACATAAAGTCAAACCTGATAAGATAAAAAGACTGAATTATTTAAATGTATTTGATAAGGGCATTTCCTCCGGGGTTTAAAACCCTTTAGACACTTTTCTGTACAATTTCTTGTTTCTCAGTATCCTTTTAAAATGGTGGACAGTATCTTTCCTTTGCTGTATGAGGGATAAACTATTCATCCAGGTCTTACAAACAACTGTCTGCCTTCTCCACCTGGGGCTGGCCTTAGCCTGTATTAGCACAGTGGTGCAATGGGAGTCTCTGTGTCATTTTTTCCATCATGCTACATTAATAATGCTTATTAAACAACCTATTTCCCATATCGTGGAGGGGGGAATTCCTTTTTCCTAGGTTAACAATTTTATATTCAGTATTTGATTTAGTTGACCCAAGTTGTCAACCAATCCGTGTTCTGTTGCATGATTGTCTTGACCTTATTTTGTTTACACATACTAAATGCAGGAGTTTGCCCTCAAAACTTGTTTTCAGTGATTTTATGTTGCTTCTGAAGCATAGTAAATAGTACTGACTAGTATTGTGTAGAAATACTCCTCTCCACAAACCCTGGAACAACCTCTTTATACTTTTTGAAGTATGCTAATTGATTTTAAATAAAGATACACAAGCCTAGAGAGGATATGTGAGAGACTAGTAGGGAGACAATGTGCTTTCAGGTAGAAAACTACCCAGGTCTTGCTTCTGAAAATAGATTCTCCTTTGTTTTAAAGCGATCCCATGGCATTCTTCTGGGCGTGGTGGGCTCTGATGTACCACTGAGGGAGTTGTTAAAACTTGCTCCACGGTATAAGGTAAGACTCAGAAAATGCAATTTGTTCTTTTGCACAGCAAAGTCACTAGTCATTTTCTCATGGGCATGACTGAAAAATCATTTCTCTGCCTGTAAGAAAAACTATGAGCATAAAGGAAGAGATGTTGGATGTGGTGATGTGTGGTTTCTATACAGCACAAGTGACATTCACTACTAGAAGCTCTTTGCTGCTTCAGGATCACAAGACCTGGATGATCCAGTAGATTGGCAAAATGTTGTGGAACTTTTGCATTTTGATGGTCACCAACCTAGATCCCTCAGAGATGACAGCCTATCTTAGAAGAATTAAACTTTTATATCCAGTTCCCAGTGGACAAGAGTTGCCATGCCAGCTGGCAAAAAATGTATTGGTTTCACTGTCAATATTCTTAGAAGAAAAAGTGAGGGCTGAATGGATTATGGAGAGCCAACTCTTCTGGCATGCCCAGAAGAATTTCTCCAGATCAGCATGAAGATTTTTTGGCAGGACAGTGCACAGAAAGTTGGCTCTCACTCACTTTTTCTGTACCTAGATGGAGTATATGCTCCCCAGACTTGTTAGTCAAAAAGCTTTCCATTAGCTCTATGTTCAACGTATCTAAAAAAAAAAAAAATGTTCATTCATAGGAAATCCCTCCAGAGATGCACTGTTTAGTTTGGTTTCTGATGTAAACTCTGTGCAGTGACCCTTTGTTCAGTCAGGCTGCACACCAGGAGACAACAAGCACATCCAAGGACCACCATGAAACGAGGAAATTTGAGCCATCATTTCAAGTTTTCGGTTTCTCTTAAATAACTATCAGAAAACTACTACCAGTTAGGCAGTTGTCCAAAACCTGATTGCTAAAGGCTCACAGGACTGAAAGTGCTGTCAGAAGCTATGAATTTCTGTGGCGCTTCCAGACATGGATACACAGCAGACCATTAACATGAAGCTGTAGGAAATGATCCTTCAGGCAATCCTAGAACTAGGAGTGTCAGGGTGCATGCATTCAGCATGCAAAAGCTGGATGCTTTGGGCCTAGGGGAACCTTGTCTAGGAGTTTCAATTTTTATACATTTATTTTCTGTTTAAGACTGATACCTTTTCATCTTCCTCCCTCCATGTCACTCAAAGGCCAGGTGTCACAATAATCTTTCTTCTGGCCCAAGAAGGGACACAGTTCTTTCCTCCAAGCAGTGTCAGGGAAGGAGAAAAAATTATTTGAATTTCTTTACATCAAAGGCAGGACACATCTTCCCAGAAGCTCTTCCAACTCCAAAGCAGTTTAGAAACCCAGGATCCTCAACTTAAATTCCCTGGAATATAGGTTACAAAAGGACCAGTTCCAGAGTTCCAGCCCTCAAGAGCTTGTGTATTAATGATCATGCTTACTTGGCTGGGAAATATCACGTTTAATAGGCAAAAAAGAAGTTTGCTGATCCAGTGTCTTGGTTTTGTTCTTGCCACGCTGAGCTGAGCCAAGTGTGCTTTACAAAAAGCTGCTTTACATAGAGACAGTCCAAAGTTTTGATCCGAGATGTGTGAAATACAGAATTCGTTCCCTGAATGCACAGACGGATTGTAAATGACTCACCTCCTCACTTTCCTGCTGTTATCCCTCCAGGATTGTCTCTATAGGAAAATAAAGTTGCAACATTTTTTTGGAGATAGAAACCTTAGACATTCTTGTTTTTCTTGAGACACCTCTTTTTTTGGCAAGCACAGGCTATCTGCAGATTTTTAGCTGGAATTTGTATTACATGTGGGCTTGAGCTGAGTAATTGCTCTCTCGGAAATCTCTTGCAGATCAGGTCAGCCAGTGTCTGCTCTTGTTAGACTGTGCTATTCCTTAAAAAGCATTTTAAGACTACAGGCTTGTACAACTGGCCTAGGCTAGGTCTGGTCTTGCCAACACTGAAACATAACGCAGAGCTCCTCTGAAGGCCGACAGGGTTTCCAGGGAAGCCGTCTGTGAGATTCATACTCACTTGTTCATTCACTGCTCTGCACACATAGTGATGGGCACACAGACCTGTCACCGGTGTTTCTGGGCTGTTTACAACATTCTCCATCGTTGCACTTTTTATGAGTGGCTCTGCTATGCCTGCTGTGGAGAGCTCAGTCTACCTCTGGGTGGTGATTGTCCAGGACGACAGTCAGACTGTAGGGGGGCATCTCTCTCTGAAGGTGTACACAAAACCAATTACCTGTCCATCCTTTTGTGCATCCAAGCACAGTGAGTCTGCTTGGGCAGAGCAGTCAGAGATCTGGAGATAAATGGTTTGGGATGGACCCTGTTTTCTGCTGGTCAATACCTACAAAAGGAAAATACTTCTGACTATTGGTGGTGCCAGAGTATTAGTGGTACTCATTATACATGTTTCTAGCTAAAGCACTAATTATTCTGATGCCTCTTTCTTCAGCTGGGTGTCCATGGATACGCCTTTCTGAACACCAACAACGGCTACATCCTTTCACACCCAGACCTCCGTCCTTTGGTATGTATAGCTGTGAATCTGAGAACCTTTGCTGACTTGAAAACAGAGAATTTCAGGGGTCTTTCTGATTTGGGGGTTTTTTGAGCTGTGAAGGCTACCAGGCTCTGATATACAGGCACTCAGTAGCAAGAGGGACGGAGAAATAAATTCCATGTACACAGATGTATATACGTACACACATGGGTATGAAGCATAGGGTATCCTGCCTCTCTGTTCTCTGTAGGACTGCATGTGAGGGCTGTATTCGTGTGCACTTGCCGTACTGTGGGTGCACATGTATCTGTGCCCATGCAAGGTTTCACTGCCAGGCTGCAGGAACAGGTCCCCTTGCTCAGGCATATCTCCTACGAGGAGATTCAGCATGAGTATCACCCCAGTAATAACCACCCAGCAGATATGGACATTTTAGGATTCTGAGCCTAGCAGGGTGCAGTACCACCAATCTTAGTAACATGGTAAGTCCGAGACCATTCAGAGACCAGGAGATTGCAAACACCTCCTGGGACTTGAGGGAGTGGACATAAGGACAGCGTTTCTCCCTCGTGGTGCCACTGGGAGCTCCAGGCTACCCATCTGTTTGCAAACACACAGCTGGCCTCATCAGTCAGATAGCCAGGCACGCAGTGATTTTACATTTCCTACACGTGCTACTCAGCACCAATCCACCTGCACACAGCTCTGAGCATTAGTGTGGTCACCAGCAAGAGAAAGTGCCACCACAGGGCTTCACAGCAGCTGTCTTAAAAAAGGCAGCTTTGCAAAGGGAGACCACTGGCACAGGGAGTTTCTTTGTTACGTGAAGAGAAGGGACAGGGCAAGGCAAAGTTAGGCAAGGGCTATGCTTTATCCTTCCACCTTAACTTGGCCTCTCTTGGTCTGCTTCACACCTTTTCCCTCACCTGGAAGATTACAGTGAAATAGCTCTTTTTTGTCAGCTAGCTCTAGGTGAAAAGTCTACCCTCAGAGGAGTCAAAGCCTAACTCCTGTCAGGAAGGATCTCCTGCTGGTATTATAATGTTAACGGGATTATACTCTTAGCTGCAGGGAAAAAACTGATTTTCTGGAGGCAAGTGTGTTGTACTGATCTGTTTAGAAGTAGGAGGCCATAGCTTTTACCTGCCAGTTTACCTGTGTTCCTGCCTTCTTCCTGGATCAACCTCTCCCACTTGAACTCTCCTAGCCCCTCACTGCCTGTGTAAAGAAATACATGACATAGGACCAATAAGGCACCTGCACAAATGCTGCCTTCCTAGTCAGTGAATAAATGAGACACCCCTATTTTTCAGCCAATTCTTAAAGGGTTAGTTTAGAAAGTTATCTAGCCACTTATTTGGGTATTTTTTCTTTCTTTTTCTTTTTTTTTTTCAATAAACACCAGTATAAGGAAGGAAAGAAACTGAAGCCTAAGCCGAACTACAACAGTGTAGATCTCTCAGAAGTGGAGTGGGAAGACCAGGAGGAAATAGTGAGTATCAGAAAGTGAATTTAGCCTTTTTTGTAGTTCCTTCTTTCTATTACTTGGTGTGTCTGTATGGAAGGCGTGGGGGAGCAGTGGGCACTCCTGTTTTTTTCTGTGCCTGACCGGCTCTGAGTAAGAGAGGCTGGTGCTCTAAAAGAGGACAAAAGATGAAACTCCTCTACAAAGTGTTTGTCTTCCATCCCAGTATGAGTTTACCTTCACAAGGAACAAAGAGGGAAAGTGCTGGCATGAGGAAGGAAGCACTTTGGAGGGTGCTCCACGGAGCCAGTCTGTGCATACATGGCCCAAATGCTGCCTTAATACAAAGCCAAGGTAGCTTTAGGAGTGTGGCAGTGTCCTGTGATGTTACCCATACATTCAGGATGTGAGATATAGCTGAAACCACTCAACTAACAAGATCTGCAGCAAGGAAGAAAGTGCATTCAAGAAGAGTCTAAAGCTTGCAGTTACTATTAATACTAGACAAAGAGGATAAGGGACTTAGACACTTAAGAAAAACAAATTTCCAGAAATCACCTTATTGCATAGGTGTAGAGGCACTGAAAATAATAGCTGACCAGAGGGTAAAGATTAGAAAATACTTTTTCTATTGTCTTTTGAGAAAAAATTATTAAAAGGTGATAGACAAGAAAGAGCATGCATGTTATAGCTGCACATTGCTGCTTTGCATAATTAGGAACCTAGATAAAATGAGAAGGTAGTGAAGTTCCTCTGTGGCTGGTTTTATTTTACTCAGAAGAAGTAGGAGAAAAGAGATACTTAAGTTACTAAGATAAGAACTGAATTTGGAGTAAGACAGAATTAGCTGCGAGACAGATGCTTCTGGATTACAGGGGAGACTGCAGAGATAAACGGATCTGATGCTATAGATATCCACTTAAACAGGTAGGACAAACAAACTGACCAGCAACAGGATCAAAGTAGCCACTGCCACTAGTGCAGGCCAAGTACAAAGGGTACACCAAAGGAACTTGGGAAGGGGAAGAGTGGCAAATTGAGAAAGAAAACACAGCAGAACTGGGTGTGAAACATGGAAAGCAAGACAAAATAAGAGGCTTTACGTGTAGTGGGACCACCAAGGTGCTAGCTGCCAATGGCTTTGTGTAGGTTCACTGATAACTTATACGAGCTCTGCTCCCACTGTAGTTTTTCTCTCACTGGAGCCACTTTTAGAGCTGTTCCTCTTTACCTAATTTGCTGTTAAAAAAAAAAAAAATCCAGGAAATGAGAGAACTTTGCTTTGCTCTCCTATTTATTTGGCTAGCAGGTTCCTATCTGACCAATTAACTGATACCTGAATGCAACTACAATGCAACGTGTAAGGTTTTTGTCCATAGGCAGTCAGAACAAAACTACCCACAGGGGAAAAAAGTCATGAAACAGGCATGAATAACAAAGCCACTTTGTGTTTCTCTGTTGCACCTTCCAGAAGAAAGGTTGCAGTCACTGAGGGTACAGAGACATTCAGTGACGCGAAGTATATCTGCAGTGTGACTTCAGCAAGTCTAGAGACTCTCAAGATACACCCACTGCAGCAGAAAGCTGCCAACATTTCAACACTCAGATTTGTAGCTATGGTATTAGATCAATGACAGACTCAACATCAGTTGCAGTATAATCTCAGCAACACTGATAAGCAGCGAATTCCGACTGGAAAAATATGCCCAAGTGCTAATGATGTGTAATACAGCCAGCCGCTAAAAGGAAATCTAGTGGAGGGAAGATGGCATTGTCTGGAAAATACCAACTGATGCACAATGGTACTATCTGCAGCCAGGCAGCAGCAAGGGTTTGGGCTTGCTTGTGAAGCAACACAGGGGTATTTGTAGTGTGAGGGGGAAAGAAGAAGGGTCGAGGGTCTAGAGCGGAAGACGTATAAGGAGTGGTTGAGGTCACTTGGTTTGTTTAGCCTGGAGAAAAGGAGACTGAGGGGACACCTCACAGCACTCCACAGCTTCCTCACAAGGGGAAGCAGAGGGACAGACACCGATCCCGTCTCTCTGGTGAGCAGTGACAGGGGGGCCCCTTGAGGGAATGGCATGAAGTTGAGTCAGGGGAGGTTTAGGTTGGATATTAGAAAAGGTTCTTCACCCAGAGGGTGGTTGGGCACTGGAACAGGGAAGTGTCACAGAAGCAAGCCTGACAGAGTTCAAGAAGTATTTGGACAACACTCTTGGACGCACGGTGTGATTCTTGGGGCTGTGTTGCACATGGCCAGGAGTTGGACTTGATGATCCTCGTGGGTCCCTTCCAACTTGGGATATTCAATGATTCTAAATCCAGAACCCATAGCAAATGCTGCAGGCTGTCAGACCAGAACAGAGAGTATGCCGTGGCTCTGGCAGGAGGTCAAACACTCTTAGCCAAAAAGGAGTAATAGTACCAGTCAGTGTTTTCATTTCCAAGATGTGGGCCTTGGGAAACATGAGCTTTATATTCTAGGTCTGTAAATAACCCACATCAAACAGCCATAGTAAACAAAGCTGTGGCCTTGTAAAGCAAATGCAGTTGAGACTGGCTAGCAAGCACCTGAATGGAGGCCTGTCTCTGGAAGTAAGGAAACAATTTGTGTGAATGAATAAGTTACTTCCCACCTATTTTTTCTGTCCAGGCTGAAGCAATAGGCTGATATGCTCTGGCAGGCTGGGCCTAAAGTCAAAGCCTCTGCACTCGTGGAAAAATTTCCTGGCTCTTTCTTGCAAGAGGCTGGGAGTCACCGTGAAAATTAAATTTTGGAACCTGGATTGAATAAAGAGGTCTTCTCACTGCCTACCCTGCTGACATACAGTCTTGCTTTGCTGCGCTAAACAGCTGCTTTGCTGCACCTCAGAAGTGGTGCTGAATACAGCCTATAATTTATAAATCAGTTTTTAAAATGTCAAAGAGCTTTGGATTCGGTCTGGGGGAGTTAGTGAGTTTCTCAGTTGTCTCCTCTTCCAGGCTCTCAAAGCACTGTGCTAATGACTTTCTGGCTGCCACACAGTGAAGCCTGAAACTCAGACTGGCAATTTCATACATTCCAGATCCTTTCTTTGTGCTAAAAAGACATATCAACAGGGTTTCAGCATAAACCATTACTTATCAGCTTGACCGAACAAGGATTCTGACCACTGAGAACAGGTTTTCAGTTTAAAAGAAGCAAGAAAGAGCTGGGAAGGAGAGGGAAGCTGCAGTCACTCTTTCTGCCAGCCACTGTATGTTAATGACAAGTGAGTCTATTAATTCCTGTCCTGCCTGGAGACACTAATACTAAACTTGTTCACCTCTGCAGCTGAGAACTGCCATGATCAATGGGGAAACAGGCTACCTCTCTATGGATGTGAAGGTCCCTGTGGACAAAGGGGTAAGAAATTATCCTTCTGTTCAGGTCACACAAGGGAGTGGATGGGAAGTGGATGCTGAAGAACCACAAAGGATGTGGTTTTAATGCTCAGCATTTCTGAGTGTGAGGATTTTATTGTTTCAACACATATGTAACGCATGTGCTAAAGACATCTAAAAAAGCATCATTAGAAGTGCTCCTTACACCTACTAATATTCTGGTCTTAGAAAATTATTGGAAATGCCTCTCAGCCCCCTACTTTTTCCAGCCAAAGCCAAAAAGCATGTTGTTCATTGTTTATAGGGCTGTGAAATGGAATCGGAGATCTTCAAGAGTTTAGAATAGGGAAGATTACGCAGATCTGACCTAGACAGAAAGAAGTTTGGAGACTATTTTGCCACTCCCTTTCCCTACCCAAAACCTCTCATGAAAACTTTGTCCCTCACTTTGTCAGAATATGATTTCCTTTATCCAGGTCCAGGATTAAATTTCTATGCAAATATTTGCAGATGTTTTATGAAAAGCCCTAACGAAATGTAGACTTTTGAACATTCCCTACCAGCTCTAGGGTAGGGTTACACATCTTCCCTTGGAATCAGTGCAAGATTATCTTGTACATTTATGTTCACTGGTACTTTTTCATTCAGGTTTATTTAACTCTCTTAAAGATTTTGGCTTTCATCATTTCCTGTTAGGAAGTATTCCAGAGTCCTGCAAGTTACACTGCCCAGAAATCTTCCATATTTCAGGAAAATTTTCCATCCTTTACAGAGAGTAATTTTTTCAGTGGCTGGCTGAACTGCTCCCATGCTAAGCCACAGTCAGCACCAATTCCAACAAACTGCTCACAGCCACTGCTGAAAATAGTGCCACTTCCTGATGAAGACACCCCTTTGTTTCCTCTGAATGGTTGTACTGCTAGATCTTGTCACTACATTTTCTCTCTCTATTCTTGGTGTTTACAACTCTCAGGTTCCTGTCAATGCCTTTGCCTTTCTTCTCCCGGATTGCCAACATCTACATTTGAAATATTTGCACATTTTTCAGTCCACGCAACTCAGCCATTGTGTTTGTTATCTTCATGTCTTTTATCATTTCTGGTGTACAAGCACTAGGGCTTTGCTGAATTAGAGTTCTGTTTCCCTGATGCTCTTTAGAGAGCATCTATTCTCTGCAATATGATACTTCTGAACAAGGAGCCCCAAATCTCCTTTCTGCTGTCCCTTCAATTTTTTCTGCCTCCCCCAGCTCCGCTGGAACTGCCACCTTCACTTCTGTATTTCTTAGCTATTTTTTTCCAGTTGCCATTTTTCCATGTGAAACCCACTCCTCCTCTTCATCCAGCCTTTCTAATTTTAAGGTCTGTTGCGGCTTTTATTCAGCATGCAGAGAAATGTTGTTTTATTTTGTCTTACAGATCCCTGTACATAAGGGCTGCTAAGGCAGAGTCTGTCTGTTCCTCTCATTAGATCTTTTTCCCTTGATGGCTTGTTGTTTACTGTCTCTTTTTGTTTACAATGCTGCAGCTGGTTCTCACTCTGTATCTTATTTAAGCCCACTTTAACAGATTCCTTAGAATAAAATTTCATGAGAAGCTGTTTCAAGTGCTTTATATAAACCCAGACACATTGCATGTCCTTTATTTCCTTCATTCCTCTACCTTAGTTATTCTGTCAGAAAAGCAATCAAGGTTTTCAAGCAAAATCTATTATTTGTAAGTCTAGATTGCTTATTTTGCTAGCTTAACCTCTTTGTGCACCCTCAACAACACTTCTTCTGAGTCATCCAGAGATATCTTTTTAGTTCAATATTTTAGAGACATCTTTCTGCTCCCCTACCCAGGGGGGGAAAAAAAGATAACAAAAAGTAGCCTTGGTAAAGAGGTATTACCTGTTTCATTCTGCAGCTCTGGAAGCCTTATGAAGCACAATAGGAGACTGAAGTATGTGACAGTTTTACTACTATTGGAATACACACGGTGGGAACCAGAAACAAAATTCAGCAATTCCCAATTTTACCCTGCCAGCTGATGAAGCAGATCAGCATTGAAACAAAGAAAGTGCTGACAGAGCCTTGAAACAAAGAGAAGGAGGTAGTCAGACTACAGAGAGAAGGCCTGAATGAAGAGATAGAAATTATTCTGTCAGCCACGTAAACATTGATTTCCCAGGCTGATCTCAGGAAGGTATTGAGAGCAGAGTGAGACAGAGAGGGGAAAATAAGGAACAAATACAAGAGGTGGTTTTTAGAGAGATCAAGTGGCAAAAATATCTTTGCTTGCAGCTGGAGTACAAAAGAGTTGTGACTGTTAAAGCAAAAGGGTGAGGACAGGGGTAGGAGCTGCGGCAAACCACTGGTAATGGCAATAACCAGGAGTGGATACCTGGTACAGTGACAATACCAAAACTGGAAATACTCATGTTCCCAAGCTGCAGGGGATGGTAGTCAGCTATCCTATCATGGTGCCAACGTGCCCATGCTCTTCTCTTCTCCCTTGATCCCCCTATATAGCAAAGTCCTGTCTGATCATCCTCAGCCCTGCCTGGTTCAAGGGTGCCTCTGCTTCTCTTCCTTCCATGGATAAGTGGTGATACCTCCAGCTGTCTTGGAGCAGGCTGGCCACCCACTCTCTCCTCCTGCCCCAAAAGACGTTTGCCCTCCCTCCCTCAACTTGCAAGTGCTGAGTGGTTGCATGAGCAGAAGAGGGGCAGGTCAGGGGAGCAAAGGATGAGCAGGACAAGCCCTGCTAAAGGAAAGGGTCTCAAGCAGTGGCCAAATCTTCTTCTCCATGCCTCCCTGCCTCCACCATCAGATCAGATAGGCAAGAAAAGGAAGGATTAATAGCTCTTGTACCACCTCAAAACATCACCATGCCATGTTCTTCAGGGGTAGCACAGCACTCTGGAAGATCTTGCACATCAGGAGAAATAACTTCACAGAAAGAGTTATTAAACATTGAAATGAACTGCCCGGGGAGGTGGTAGAGTAACCATCCCTGGAGATGTTCAAGAAACAACTGGATGTGGCACTTAGTGCTCTGGGCCAGTTGACAAGGTGGTGATTTGGTCATCTTAGAGACCTTTTCCAACCTAAATGATTCCGTGATTCTGTTGTGATCTTGGCACAGCAAAAGACCCTGTTGCTCAGCAGTATAGAGCTGCCATACATGGAGAGAGAGAGAGAGGAGGGAAGGGGTTGAGCCACCTGCCACCTCCTCACCTAAAAATATCCCCCAGCCCCATCAGCCCAATAAGCACAAAGTCAGTGCTCGCTGTGGAGCTGGCACTGGCTCATCCTTTGTGCCTCGCTCCACTTCCACTGCTGCACGGCTTGAGCACGTTAGAGCAGGCACAGCTCTCCCTGGGGAACACTGAGTTTTCTGTGTTCACTCCCCTGTCTCCCACACACATCCTCTCACCTCGTTTTCAGGCTGGGTCTAGGATTTTAAACATATTAGGGTTCATATACTGGCATGAGACTTGGACAGAAACTTTCCAAAAACTTTTCTCCTTTGGAAAAGAGTTCCACTGAAATCAACACTTTCCTACAGGAAAAGGCTAGTCTGGCAAACAGATGAAGTTCTGAAGCAGCTTTCAATAATCTGAAATGTCTTCAGTTGAAATGTCAGTCTGAAAAAAATATTTGCACGTGAATCAAAACGGCTTGGATTTGAATCAGCACTTTTTTTCCAAATTTAAAGCGTAAATTTTTTTTACTTATGTTTTTTAACAAAATTGGAATATGCTAATGTTTTGTCCCAATTTGGCATGAAAGCAAAGGTCAGGAATATTAGAATTCCCACAGGAGTGGGGAGACTTGGCTCCAGCTGCCTTGGCCCCAGCTGCCCACACACACAGTGGGTAGGTTTGCCATCTTTCTACCTGCCCCACTGAGCCCCCCTCCTGCTGGAGATGATGATGATGATGATGATGTGCAAAGCTGTCAAGGTTGCTGTGTATGGCAAAAGAGCAGTAGGGCCCCAGCACATTGGCTTGGAGGGTGTGAGAGGGAGGGCAGCTTCCCCCCACCCCTTCCTGCAACCAGTGCAGGAGCCCCAGAGCAAAGAAAGGTTTAACTGAAGCCCTAGTTGGAAAGACAGAGTGGCTGCCTGGATGCTGAAAGAGCTGGATATGCTGAATACTGCACATTCATCCCTGCTTCCAGCCAGCCCTAGCAGGGTGTGAAGTGTTGGTAATGATTGACTGCTTTTGCTTAGCCTTGGGGACATATATCCCAGGTCCCCATCACCACTGTGCTCTTGGTCTGTCAGATGGTCTCTCACTCTTCTTATTCTTGCTCTTATTCCAGAAACGAGTTCTTTTCCTCACCAATGATTATTTCTTCACGGACATCAGTGGCACACCCTTCAGGTGAGCGAGGACTATGTGACATCAACACAATGTATCAGAAGTATGATCATGGATCATGGACAGCAGATTGGTCCCTTTTCTTCATAAAACTGGCTACAAGTCATGAGCAGAGGAGTGTGAACAACTGACTTCTTTGTTCCTATAGCCATTAAAATATTGTTTGGGGTCAACTCAAAAGGAATATTATGATTTATCTGAAGTTCAGAATACAAAAGCTATGCCTTAGGTGAATCATGTTTCATTTCAGAGAAATAAGACATCTTCAATTTTCCATTCCACTGAATATGGTTTATGTTCTGGTGTATGGCTTTAAAAAAAACAACACTGTTATAAACTGAAAATTATAAAAAATCAAATAACAAATCAAGCAAAGCATGTGTGTGTGATTGCTTGTGGGTTGGCTTTTCTTTTCCCCAGTTGAAATGATTTGAAACTGGCACAGATTTGAGTAATGTTATCATTTACCTGAATCTACAATGTTGGCTAAAAAATTATCACCAGAAATGCCTCATTTCAGCTCTACAGACAGGTTCCTTTGCCTCTTATGCTGAAATCGGATCTCACTTAATCCTCTTCTGATGATGTTCTTTTCTTTAATAGCTGTGGAGGGAGTTAATGTCTTTAAGGGTTGTTACCGCAGGGAATGCAGCGTCACGTTTAGGAATGACACCTTTCCTTGCTGACAAGTCCTCTGTTTTCCCTCCTGCCTCCAGCCTGGGTGTTGTGCTGTCCAGGGGACACGGGGAGTACATTCTGCTGGGGAACACTTCAGTGGAAGAAGGTAGGTTAATCTCAAAGGGCCATGCTGTCCCAAGGGACAAGGCAGCTACTCTGAACTTCACCACTTCACTTCTCCTCCACAGCCTGTATATGGCTGGTACCTAACTGAATATTCCATGTATTATCTGCTTTCAGGTTTGCATGACCTGCTCCAGCCAGACTTGTCTTTAGCGAATGAATGGTAAGTGAAGGAAATCCTGTCAGTGACACAGGACTTTGTCACGATATTTGGGCAAACTTCCCAGCAATGTGGCTTGCATTCACCACCCTCTGTGGCCTAGGGAAAAAGCAGTGCTCTTCAGGGGCTGTACCTGCAAAGACCTGATTGTGTCCAGGCAATTCAGTTCCACCTCTTCCTCTGGGAGATCCCACCAAGACCTGGCACATTACTGTGCTAACAAACATCTGAGATTTATCCTCAGTCTTCTCTGCTCAGACTTATTTTTTCCCCCCATGTTGCTCAGAATTGTCTTACAAGACCTACAGTATGTCAGACCTGTCAGGAAATTTTGTTGCAAGCTTGGTGAGAGATTGAAATGCTTTTTTAAATCCTAGCTTATTTTTGGTTGGCATTCTTCTGAACTGAGCCTAGACCTAATTTCTAGTGAACATGGAGGTGATTTATGACTCCTGTTTCAATAGCAAGCAGAATTTACAGTTTTGCTTGGTTTGGATATGAAACCGGGTGAAGCATGGCACTTTCCATTTATTGCTGTGAGGTTTGGGGTTTTCATGAACCCAACATTCAGTTACACTCAGTCACATGAACCCAGCCTGTATCAAAGCCAAAATAACTATATTCAAGAAGCCCTCCACCTCTTCTCACCTCTCATTACACTGCTAAGTTTCACAGGCAGCGCATTTGAGACACAAGCAGTGACTTCTCCTTCTTCTACCTCTGACTTGGTGTGTCAGCTTACACACTTTACATATTAATTTCTCTTAGACTTCTCTCATAAATCACTCCTTTCAGCCCCTTTATGAGTTGTAATTCTCTCTTATAACCCCTTCCTGTCCTGACAATGGAGTGGTCAAAATTGGAAGCAGGATTAGAAGACTGGTTTCTTTTATAATGCCGAGCATTTGTAGCACATTCTTCTGCTTCTCCCCAGACTGTGTCCAGAGGCTCCTGCAGTGGTGTCCCTTTGGGACAGATTTTCTTGTCACCATATCATACTGCAAGATCATTCCTCATCTCACATTCTGTTTCTCTGTCTCTCGTTTTTTCTGCTCCTGGTCTGGTCTTACTCACGTTACACACGACTCTCTGCTTCTCAGGTCTCTCCATCACATTGTTATTGTCTATATAGGCACATGTACACATCTTACACAACATGTAATACATATAACTGCTGAGAGGATTTGGGACAGCTGTTTTACATTGTGAGCTTAGGCTGAAGACCATAACAGCAGCCCTACCAAGCTCAGCAGTCAGGTTGATTGGTGTTGGTTTACTGGTAGGGTTTGACTTACAGCCACACTGCTAGATTTTGAGTGGGCACACCGTGCAGCAGCGGCAAAATCTTTGCAGACCCAGGTTTCTTGCTGAATTTTTTTTTTTTGCAGTTATTATCTTCCAGGAGCATTTGGTTAACTGTGGTTTATCTTTGCCCTTGCTTCTTCTTCCCTTCCCACCAGGATTTACTGCATCACCGACATTGATCCAGACCACCGCAAGCTCAGCCAGCTGGAGGCTGTGATCCGTTTCCTCACTGGAGAGGACGCTGACCTGGAATGTGAGTCCCAGGCACTGAAAGTGCCTTTTCCTGTACCCATCACAGGGGAGAGGGGACTAGGACAAACTGATTGGTGTCAGACTGAGCTCTTTTGGCACCTGTTCACACACGCAGGGCAGAACTCAAGCCCAGAGTAATTCACAAAAGGAAACAAACAGAGAATCCACTCCCTTGATTCCGTCAGAGGATTCTTTTTCCATTTCAAAGCTGACATGTAACTCAGCCTTATTGGAGGTCTCAGCATAGGAAATACTGAGGGGTGAAAAGCTTGAAAGGAGCTTGGTAGGGGCTGCAAACCATGTTTAAGACAGACTGACCAGCTGGGCTAGATGGGGCAATGGCAGGAGGAGCCAGAAAAACTAGAAACTACTCAGCTTCCCAGGGTCCCAGTCATCATCCTCCAAGGGTTCACAGTGCCATCTAAAGAGATGGGTTCTTTCAGAACAAGGATTATTACCTTTGTTTTCCAAACACAACAGGTAACTGACCTAGGGGTAAGAAATTGTCACAGAATTATTGTCTTTCCTGCTCCCCCTGCTGCTCATCCATTACACCAGTTCCCGTTCTCCAGGCAACACGTAGCCACACGGGCAGCTGATACAGCACCACCACAGTGAGATCTCTGTCAGGGGGCAGAGGTGGGCAGCTGTGCATGGGAACTCCTTACAGCTATTTAGCTTTAGGATGTCCTTCAGCCCCTTTAGTTGTGCAAAGTATAAGATTTTGCATATAATGCTGCAGCTGAGAGGCACAAACCTTTGGCACAAGAATGGGAATCTCTTAAAAATAAAATCAAATGTAATCCAGTAATTTTGCCTCTCTTTGTACAATGTGAGTGGACCCCCACCTGGCTCTCCTTAGAGCAGGCTGGAAAGAGGAGATGTATCAGCTCAAGTGGCCAGGGAGGAGGAAAGTTTCAGGAGAGCTGACTATGAGAAACATGCAGACTTGGAAGTGCTGTGGAGGAAAAACAAATATGATTTGAACACATCTTAGACATATGGGGCCTGGAGAGGGAAAGGTCTCGTGGTGAGCTCTGATTCTGAGGTTTGAATTACAAGGATGGAGAGAAGGATGAAGGCGAACTTGAGATAAAACATTAAGGGAGACTGGAATATCAACCCAGAAACACTGAAATGGTGAGGGTGTTTCCATCTAGAATAGCACTGAAAGGTGCATTTCTGCAATATGATGGTCATCATATTCTCATAAGAATGAGAATTAATGCAAGCAGGGCAATACAATAATGAAGCAGGTCAAAGAAATGGGGTTTGGGGATAAGTCATTTAGCACATGATGATACTTCGAACTTTCCTAATCACTTCTTAGTTCCAAAGTGGATTAGACTGGTGGCCTGGACTGGCTTGAGCACCTGATGGAAACCAGGACAGGACAGTGTTTTGTGAGACTTACAGGAAGGAAGGAGGGCTAACAGAGAAGCCGGTGAACACAGGAACAGAGTAGAGGCCATAAAGAAGTCACTAGGGGTTTTGAAGGAAGTTTCTTGAGTGGAACGTGGTGGCTGGTATCCTCTCTATGGGATACCCAGAAGAAAAGTCAAGGCAGGGATTTCAGGCAGTGGCCTGTTCATTAAAGGAGATGGTTGAGTGAAGGTCTAATGAATAACTTCATTTGAAAGCCTCTCACTTGCCCGAACTTGTTTGGGCACCACCCTTCCATCAAGTTTGCAGGGGAACTGGTCTGATGATTTTGAATATTGGGAAGAAATTCTTCACAGAAATGATGATTGGAAATTGGAATGGGCTGGCCAGGGAGGTGGTGGAGTCACCATCCTTGGAGGTGTTTAGGAAAGACTGGACATGGCACTCAGTGCCATGGTCTGGTTGACAAGGTGATGATCCGTCACGGGTTGGACTCGATGACCTCAGAAGTCTTTTCCAACATAATTGATTCTGTGTTTCTGTGATCTTGGCAGTAACATCTGTTCCTGTGCTCTCCACCATCCGGGGGGGTAGGTCCTCTTCTCTGCCCTGTGATGAGAGGTCTCCTTTTGTGCCACATTTCTCCATTTTCCTGGCCAGATAGATGTTCCTTACCAAGGGACTCTCTAAAACACTTAGATGGGAACATATTTTTCTTTCCTGATTTTTGTTCTCCCTCTTTCTCAGGTGATGAGGAGTTGGTCCAGGAAGTGCTGTTTGATGCAGTGGTCACTGCACCCATGGAGGCCTACTGGACTACATTAGCCCTCAATATGTCCATGTAAGTGTATGAGAAATAAATATGGGTAGAACACCATTGAAGAGGCATCTTCAGAGTATATGGGCTTAAGGCAGTGCCTGAAACAATCACAGAGCCTTGTACAGCATACAAGAAGTTCAAAAGGCTGATAGAAATAGCTCAATAGTTTTAGAAATAACACAAAAAGTGTCTCTCAGGAGTGAAATCCAGCAGGCTGGGCCTCCTCGGGACAGCCTTTAGTTTGGTGAGGGATTATTTTAGTGAAGAAAAGGTACTTTGGTCTTGTCTCTATTGGTGATGCCTTCAGATTGAGCCTCAGGAAGGTAGTGGACAGGCTGGCTTCACTAAACAACTTTCTACTTTATTATTTCCAGTGATGCACCTGTTGCTTGTAGTATCTTGTATCATGTCACACAGATCTTCTTTCAGCAGACAACATGTTGCTTACACAGATATGTGGCCACGGAGCTCCTGTCTCAGTTAGTGGTATCCCTACCACTAACAGAGGTTGAGCCAGTGACAATCATTTTAGGATACCCACCCAATTATCAGTACACCCTTAAACAGCTACACCAACACACTCTCTTCAGAGACATTCTGCTATGCTGCCCATCCTCTGCATCCCTGATCCAGCCATTCTCTCTCCTTCACTTCAGCCTCACGAGGGTAGCCTGAAGCAGGGTTAGCAGGGGGAGAGGAGCTTGTGATCCACTTAAAAGAGAATGAAATGAACAAACTTCAAAGGTGTGAACCTAAGTACAAGTCTTAAGCCTGCCAATTGTTAACCAGCAACCACCTGTTGCCATTAGCAGGGAGGAACCACTGTCACTCCTGGTGTAAATGGGTTATGTTGCAAATTAACCATGTCTTCGGTGTGGCTTCTAGTTTGGAAGGCTCCCACCCTGGGGCAAGGACATGGCTGTTCTTCTGAGAGCTGTTTGCTTCTGCCTGTGTGTTTCTGTTCCACAGGGACACTGAGGCAGGTGTTGAGATGGCTTTTCTAGGCACTCGGGCTGGACTCATGAGGAGTGCCCTCTATGTGGGCTCTGAGAAAATTTCCAACAGGTAAGTCCCTAAACTGATTAAGGGGTTTCTCTCAGTGTCTCTGAAGGGGCAGCACGAAATCACCACCAGCCTTAGAAATGTATTTAGGGAGACAGAAACAGAATGGAAACAACACCTTGACAGTATTGGTGCTGATTTGGAGAGTCAGGTTAGGGGGCCTTTGTCTTCCTCTGGTCCTTTCAAGTTTTTCTTAAAATACTGTCCCAAAGTGCATTCATTTAAATGGAAACCTTCAATCATTCCCTGACTTCAGTCAGCCAGTGCAGAAAATGCCCACAGTTACCACATATCCTCAGGACCATTTTGCAGTGCAAAGGCTCTCTGCACTCCAGTGCCCCGGCGACATCCCAGCTTGGCTATGTTTGATCTTTCTGTCTCAATTCCTCTCCCACATTTATTCTGTTCTGCCTCCTTCATTGCCCACATCGCAGCAGCATCCCAGTGCCTTCCAGTGAGGCATTAAGTGATGTGACTGACATCTGTCACATACAATTCGTTCTCTTGCCCTCTGCCTCAAGGCAAAAGCGTGTGTTCAGTGGAGGGTTTTGACATGGAAAGGGTATAGTTTGCATTCTGTTGCATTTTGAATACGCAGGCTGGTGCACGCTGCTGTAAGAAAGGACAGGTCACAGAGGCACACCAGCAGATGGAACAGAAGGGGACCATGTTCATGGTGGTCATTAACTTCTTGGCAACTGTTTCACTGTCCCCAAGTTCCCCAAACATAAGTCCTACATTCAAGCTCTGCTGTGCCTGAAAGGTGACATCCCTCATGTTTTTGAGGTAGTCTGAACAATTCAGAGTAATCAGTCTCTGGCAACAAGGGAGAAAACGCTGTGTGCTGCAGGAGGCTAATATGATGATTCCCTATCCCCCACTGCTCATCAGGAGCAGCGTTCAATGCTTTCAGACAGCCGCAGTCACCACACTGCTGAGACAGAGCCCCACGGGAGGCGCTTCTGGAATCCCCTGAAAGGAAGGAACCATATAAATGAGTAATTATCATTACGTCAAAATATACAGAAAAACAAGAGCCCGAAAACAAAGGAATTTGCCACCCAAGTCATAGGGGCCTTTAGGGAAACCAATGACCTGATTTTCATGAGGTCTCTCCTGAGAATCCACTGTTTGTCTTGTCATGCCCCCAGGACACATCCTCCTGCCTTCAGGAGCACCCCTTTGCTCAAGCACTTCAGTCCCTGCATCACATCATAGAATGTCAGGGGGTTGGAACGGACCTTAAAGATCAACTAGTCCCAAACCCCCTGCCATGGGCAGGGACACCTCCCACTAGACCAGGTTGCTCAGAGCTCCATCCAACCTGGCCTTGAACACTGCCAAGGTCAGGGCATCCACAACCTCCCTGGGCAACCTGTTCCAGTGTCTCACCACCTTCACAGAAAAAGATTTCTTCCCAATACCCAACCTAAATTTCCCCTCTTTCAGTTTTTACCCATTACTCCTTGTCCTATCAATACAGCTCCTAATGAAGGAGTATCTGTGGTCCCCTTCAGATACTGAAAGGTTGTTATGAGGTCTCCACTCTGAGAGAGGGACTCCTGAGGAGATCGGGATTTGGCTACAGTAGCGCGACCTTGCGCTTGGAGTGGATTTGTTAGGAGACTGCCCAATCCCCCTTTCCTCACCTGCTCCCCATTCCCCTGCGGTAACTCACGGCCACACTCCAGCGCCACGTGGGCTCCCCTCTCCCGCCCGCTCCCACCTGCCGCGCTTCACCTGCGGCACTCCCGGCCCTGCCCCTGCTCCCCGCGGGGTAACCCGCCCCGGCGGGGCAGGGGGATGCCCCCTCATCCCGCCCTTCCCGGGCTCCAAGCCGCAGGTCCCGGGAACCGGCGGCAGCACCGCCCGCCGCGGGGCTCGGCCGGGCCAACAGCGGCACCTGGCGGCGGCTCCGGGCCCGGGAGCGGCCGCCCCTCACGGCGAGGGGGGGCCCGGCACTGCCCCGGGGGTCCCCCGGGGGGACACCGTGTGCCCCTTTCGCTCGGTAAGCCCCGGGCGGTGAGAGGCGGGCGATGTGCTCAGCCCCGGGGGTCGCGCTGCGGTGCCCCCGAGGAGGGCACGCCCTCCAGCCCGTGAACAGCGGCCGCCCTGGGTTCTTCTCCCGGCAGGAAATTCCTGACACAGAAGGACAAGGAAAGTATCTTCACTATGGACCACTTCCCTCTGTGGTACCGCCGGGCGGCCGAGCACCCCCCCGGGAGCTTCATCTACAGCATTGTCTCGGAAGACGATTCAGGTAATCCCAGCCTGAACTCAGAGGAGAGAGAAAGAGAAAGCTTTTCACATCTTGCATCCCGCACCACGCCCATCCCGATGCCTTTATGGCTGCTTCCCGCCTAGTGGGAATTGCTAAGACCTGACCGCTGGGTGTTACCTTCACACCAGTGTAGAGGCACAGAGGTCACAGCCGAGTTACTGGTCAGAGCAAAAAGGTAAAGCTGCAAGTTGTGGGGAAGGCGGTCAGGGCTGTGTAATGCAGAGTCACCGAGGAGGTGAAGGATGCATGGAAATGCAGGGCTTGGGTAGATGGAAAGATGTAGGGAGGTGGGAGTTGTGGGAACACAAGTTACGCGTGGAGCTGGAGAACACATGAAACGTGAGAAGGGAACAGGCAAGGCGTTGCAGAAGGAATGAGACACATAGGTGTGGCCAGGCTTGGGAGGGAACATCAGCCATACTGGATGACAGTAGCAGCTGGCACGGATGAGGGACCATCAGCACTCAGTCAGGAAGTCTAAGTTTAGAGGGTGTCATTTCTTCCATCACCACTTTTCATGGCAGGAATGGATGGGTTTGTTATGGAAGATGGCAGAGGAAAAGGGTGGGGAAAAAGCTTTTCCACAGCATTGGTGCCCTGCATCCTTCCTACTAGAATATAGCATAAATAAAGAAGTTCAAACACTAGAGGAAAGCAAGGAGTAGCTTTTCAATGTCTGTTGCTTAGGGTGTTGGTTCCTGTGAGTATGCAGGGCCAGCCAGGACCTCCTCAAAGGCTGGAAGAGAGCAGAAGAGCCTAAGAAGAAACAAACAAAACAAAATATTCATGTGAGACTCCTACACAGAAAGCAGAAATCCCCTCTGTGCTCCTCCCTGGCCCCTAGCTCTCCATCTCTGTCATGGAGCTCGGCACTTTAGCTGTTAAAGCTTTTTGTGGTGCAGTGGTGGGAGGCTGGTGGGTGGGAAAGCAAGTAGCAAAGTGAAGAAAACCAGGCTTGAAGGCAAGAGATGAACCAGGATGTAAAGCGGGAGGAATGGAATGAGAAAATACTTGAAACCTCTCAGAAAAGCCTCTCTCTGCCCAGCACCCTTAAATATCACTTAAAAGTCAAGTGTGGAGAGAGGGGGAGAGAAGGCAGGAAGGACCTTTTACTCCTCTGCATGTCACAACATTTGCTCTTTGGAATAGAGCATGGGTTAGAAAACCAGGCAGTGACACCCTGTGGGACTTCCTAGGGCAACCATTACCCACAGCAGTCACTCCTGGCTTAACACTGGGGTTGTGGTTTGCTGTGGCTTTCTTAGAAGTCATGGGTAGTTATGCATAAAGACAGAAAACACGTAGCTGCCACTAGTTTTTGTTTTACATGGCTAATGGTCAGAAGCTTCAATCAAGTCCAGAACCCCATTCACCTGGAAACCCTGCAGGCACATTGTAAGAAGTAGTATATGACCCTGAAGACCTTGTGCCCTAAACTGTAAGGGAGATTAGTAGTCTCTTCAGGGATGAGCAGCTGGGTTTAGAGAGACTGTGATCCATGAGATCACACAATATGCCTGGAAAGAGCCAGGAAATAATACTCAGTGCTTCTGAGCCACAGGGGTTCACTGTAAAGCAAAGTCCAGGCCCTTCCTTGACATCCAATGAAGCAGGGCTGCCCCACCTTTTAGCCAAAATAGGCCACCCAGTTTCTTATTAAATTCTGTTAGATGCTGAAGTCCCTTTTCATGTTTTCCACGATTCCCTGCCCAGTGACAAGGGGTTTTTATGGCTGATGGAATTCTAATCATACAAGAAGGAAAAGCCCCAAAGGCTCCCTGCTGGGGAGGAAACCAGCAGGGAATGACTGCAGGTCATCAGAATACTTTATCCAGGGCACCTCCTTCCAGTGTCCAAAAGTCCCAGAGATAAAAAGATATCAGGGAACCCTCTGCATGTCAGGTAGAACTGTTCTTGCAGCCCAGATCTCTCATGTGTTGGATGAGATATTTTTTTTCCAGAGACACTAGATGTATTTTGCTTCTTTGTCCCATCTGAGGAAGACCAAGACATTTGGGATTCGCCATAAAGGCAGGATCATGCCCAAGGCATGTGAGCATAAGTTGGCTGGGTAGTGTTTCACAAGGGTTTTCCTATTTCTGACACCCTTGAGCAGGTTAATGTGGCTCTGGTCCAAAAATCAAAAAACAGTGAGAGCCTCCAGGCTAAACTGTGGTATAATCTGAATTGTGCTCTGGACGCACTGGGTACCACCTAGAACGATGAAAGCAGAAATGGAAAGCAGTAGCAAATGCTGGAGCTGTTGGAAAGAAAGAATCCCTGATGCATCTGTCTAAGCAAGAGATTTCCATGCAGCATGCAAGGAGGGAATCAACTGCAGACCAGATCGATCATACTGACCTTTAAACTGTCCCCTGGCAGTTCCAGAAGAGGTGCCCCAGCTGAAGCTAATCTAATAATTTAAAAAAAATACAGAAATGGGATCTGCCACATGGACAACTGCAGAAACAACTGCAGTAACACAGGCAGAGGAGGTTGGGTTCAGTTGCTTAAGCCTATCCAGCCATGTTATTTTAAATGCCCTGTGGGAGCTGAGAGATCTGCACAGGGCTGGCAGATGTGACACAGGACTTACAGAATGCTTAAAACAGCAGCTCAAAGATAATCAGGAGACCCTGGGGCATAACAGAGTTTGAAGTCCCAGAGGACCTTGTTTCTAAAATGGAGTGCACCCTGGAAGTACCTGGGAGTGCTTTGTCTGCCTCTGCAGTTTGTGGTGCTGGTCTGGCTTGGGTAACTGAGCTAGACATAAGCCCAGCCTTTACTGTGCAAGTGTTGTCAGAATTACCTGTCCTGCTTCTCTGTCTACAGAGTTTAGATGGTGCATTAAGCAGAACAGCTTTTTGGCCTAAGAGAGGCTCTACATGTCCAAAATCGAGGAGGCCAATCCTTTACATTTTATCTTAGAATCATGGAATGTTTGAGGCTGAAAGATCATCTAGTTCCACTCACCCTGCTAGGTGGTGTGTCTCCTGCAGGGACACCTTCCACTAGACCAGATTGCTCTGAGCCCCATCCAACCTAGCCTTGTACACTTCTTTTATGCTGAGGATGCTCCTTTTATCATGAGACATCATCTAAAAGGCAAAAAAAATTAAAATCTACTCATAGCCCATTACGTTGCTTATGTGTCTTGAAAGATGTAGTCCTCGAAACTCTGGGATGTTTTAGAGTTTATACATGTGTACACACTGTCCTGGATGAGAAATTGTGTGAGCAAGCTGCTCCTGCTGCATTTTACTCCTCTCTGGTGGTGAGCTAACCAAGCCTGCTGTGTTTGTGTCTTGACAGAGGGAGGTGACCTACCGCAAGTGGTGACCGTGAGCACGGCTGTGTCTGTGTCTGTGGATGGGAAGATGGGGATTGCTGCAGGTAGGACATTCTGGTGTCTCTTTTTATCTTGAATGGAACGGTTGCATTTTTGTATGGAGTGTGGGAGCTGAGAGCTCTTAGCTTGTCATTCAAGGGAAGTGATGGGAGCCACAATAGATTGTGATGTTGAAAACTAGGCTCAACAGAGAATAACAGAGCAGGTACTGAATGGCTGACAGGCTTCTGAAAGGGGAACTGGCTGTTTGAAAGGAAGCTTCCCATTGTCCGTGCTGGTGAATTTGTGGATTGAGACTCTTTCTCTGGAGCACAAGTAGGTTGAGAAGTCCGTGCAGGTTTAAAACTCTTTGCAGGAGACACTTTTGGCTTTGGAAAAGCATCATGTTCGTGCATCTCCACTGCTGTCTCAGCTGAAAAACGAAGTTTTGCTGGTGGAATGGATGTGTTGCTAGATCTCCAACTCAGACCTATAGGTTGCCAAACTTATTGTTGTATCTGAGCTTTAAACTCCTTTTGGCGGACCTTCACTAGACTCTGCATCTACTTTTGGAAAATTCGTACAGCACGTTATTTCTGGCAGAACCCCAAAGCTTTTGAAGATTTACCATTTTCTGTATTAATTGCTTCAGCCTTTATGGAAGTACAGTAAACTCACAAGTGAAACAGAGCACCCATTTAACAAAGAAAAATCAACATAAATCAATAACACTGGTGTCATACCCAACTTAAACGCTCGGCATAGGAGTATTGGGGTAAGAGAAGATGTAGCTCTTACCCCAAGTTTTTTTTAGAACCTGGAAGTGTTGACCAAGGGAAGAGGTTGATGGAACAGGTAATGGAGTAATTATCACCAGAAATACTCTGTGATGCAAAGCTTCTTGTGAAAGAATGGTTAGTGTTAATGGAGCTTTGTATGGTGGAAGGAATGACTGATGGAATAGATACCAAACAACAACTTTCTTATAGTTATATATAGTTATGTATATATATCTCCAGTAGAGAGAAGGCCATACAGCAGATACCTTCAGATCACATATTGCTTTTGCCTAGGCTGGGTAGTATACAGGGAATGATCTTCAACACTACTACTAGTCAGTGAAACTGTGGCAATTTAACTTCATCTAGTCAAGTGTTCCTTAATTTCCAGGCTTCCAGTAAGTTCTAGCTGAGAGTGTTACTCTTTAAATATCACCCAGGCATTAAGAAAGTACTTATAAGCTGAAGGAAGGGTGTTATGAAATAGCACTTTTCACTAATAAATCACCACGTTAAGCCCAAAACCAGAAAATTGTTATGAAGTCTGTCCAGAGATACCTGTAAAATAGAGATGGTTTCAGCAAAGTTCACGTTAATAGGTGCTTGGATCATAGAAACTGCTCCCCAAACTGATACTAGCTGGCACTGTTATACCCAGCAGAGAAAGAAAAGAGCATTGAAACTGTACCAAGGGTCCCTGTGTAGCACTGGAGCATTTTTCTAAACAGTAATTAAGGAGGACAAAAAATATTTTTAAAAAAAGACCATGTGTTTTTCATGGTCCTTTTGCTTCCCTTTCCTGACCTGTGAGTTAGAGCAGAGGCACAGCAGCAGTTCATCTGGCACTCAGCATAAATACAGGGAAGGAAACTTCTTGGTGGAAGCACTGGAGCAAGAAGAAGTGGCAGGAGGATCTGCCCCTGACAGAGCCATTTCTCTTCTGTCAGCAGCGCTTTTCACAACCCCTGTGGAGATTTCCACCCACTCACTTATGCTGCATACTGAATTGACTGTCTGTGTGGACATGCTGTGAAGGGGCAGGATCCTTTGCAGAAGGTGGAAAGAACAGCAGAGGATAGGGAAACAAATCATGTTAAAACAACAACAATAAGGTAGAAAATCTGTCATTTATGGAAATGATACCGAACAAACCAGTGTTCTCACTGGCAACCACAGAAGTTGAGGCACAGAAATGAATTTTCAGTTGTTTTCATCCCTTAAAGGTACCATGGTCCCTGTCATTAAAGGCCCATTAGGTGACCTGACCACAAGCATCTTCTGTTCTCACACATGGTGTGTGTTCTTCATTCCTGGTTTCTTATGTTTTGATGAAAACTACCTGTCTTTCATCCATGGTATGGACTCAATGACAGCATCCAGACAATTACTTTCTCCCAAAGGGTCCAAAGTCCTTCATCCCCCCCTTGACTTCAGCAGGAGTGCCAGGATTTGCTGAGATATGACCCATCTGCTGGTTTGGGTGTCAGCTTACACCATGTTTTGGGGGTTTCAGAGAGGAAAAAGGTATTATATCTATACTACCCTTTGCTTTGTTTCCAGCAGTGACTAGGTTCATCATCTGAGTCTTTCATACTAGAAGTCATTAAAAAAAAAAGGATAATAATTGTGATCACACTACTTATTGAAATACTATTTTTTATTGAGGATGTCAGCTTTGAGAGTAAGGATGTAGGTCTCACTTCATCTCCCCTCACACTAATATTCTGAGTGGCTAGATCCTGATTCTAGGGAACTTCATCCTACAGCAGTCTCCAGTTCAAATGATGCTGGGCTGTGCTGCAATACCATCCTGAATACAGGAGAGAGGTAAAGGAAGGGGAGACACAACAAGAAGCAATCAGAGCAGAATGGAATGCAGATTGTTGTTATTATTATTATTGTTATTCTGATGGCATCAGACCTCAGTGGGATTGATGCTGTATTCATTTAGGATTATGATACTAGCAGAAGTTTGGTACCCAGAACTTGTTCCCAGAAAGCCAAATATCTGTGTAGACTTGTAGTTTCTGAATAAATGCAGTCACAGTTCTATAGAAGGGAAACAACAGAGACTTTGTAAGTGCCCCTATAAAAGAACAAGTGGTATGAACTGGCTTGTCATTCTGCCAGTGATCATTACTGTCACTTGTTTGACTTGATGGTGCTTGAGGGGATTTGTAAGCACTTGGAAATGTTCACTATGCATGCAGTGAAAAATTAAGCTCCAGGATTTACAGCCATGCCCGTGGGGAGGGAGCACCCTCAGTGTCCCCGTGGGGAGAACGTCAGTGGTGGAGTGTTGGGCCCCTTTTCTTCTGGCAGATGAATGTCAGGCCCCAGCCAAGGCAGAGTAAGGCAAACTGGTAAAATCAAATCTCCTGGCAGATGACATAGGTCTGGGTGCTGTCAGGGAGTGAGGGAGCAGTCAGATGGGATTAGAGAGTAGCCAGTCTAGAGGGCTGAGAGAAGGGATGAAGGAGGGAATACAAGGGCCTCCTTACTCCCATTTCAATCTGGTTTAGCTCACTGAGAAATCCCAGAATGTATTTGAGGGATGTCAAGGCTGCTTCTCTTGCCTTTAGAGATGCTACTCCACACAAGGACAGGTGGGGAGGTGGCCAAATTCAGGAGAGAAAAGCAGTGTCCCCTGCCCTGCCCTACCCTTTCCCCTTTTCACTCATCCCTCTCCTTCCCCCATGGGCTAATCCTGGGGCACAAGGTGGGTGCACAAAGGGTATGTGCAAATTTCTTGGAGGATGTGGTGGAGCCAAGGCAGAGTCCACTTGTGTGAGCTGAGTTGGTGTGGCCTCTTGGGTGGGAAGCCACACAGGGAAACCTACCCCTGGCTTGACTATATACCCGTTTCTTGGAATTAATAATATCTACCTGCTATGTTGTGCTTTGCCACTTCAAAGCATTATGCAAACATTAAGTAATGCCTGGATGATTAATTATAATTAACGAGAAGGCAGCTATTCTACTGGGATGTCAGTCCAGAACCTTTCACGCACACTAACGTTGTTGGAAATGAGAAATAAGGCATGGTGATGGCACTCCCCCAAGCCATGTCCTGCCCCAGATAGCACTGTCATCTGCTCCCTCCCGTGAGTCAGTAGCCCGGGGCTTCCTGGTCCTCGGGGTGCAAGGCAGAAATCACATGTAGTTGCTGACAGAAGCTTTTAGTGATTTAAAGCCCCGGTGAAACTGCTGGAATGTGCCCAGGAGTTCAGCTGTCACTCTGGGCTGTGTATGACGTCTCTTTCATTGCCTGACCTTCTCGCTGTTCGACTTAGGTGGCTGTCAGCTGGCTGCCAGTCCCAGCAGGGGCAGGTAGGGGTTTCTTTCCATTAGGTTCCTGGCCGTGGTCGTCATGTTTCAGGGATGGGAAACGGACGATGGGGCATGCAAAGGCTCCATGGTGCCCCAATAAAAACAATCCAAATGGGCACTTGGGAGATGCAGGTTCATTTTATACAACACTTAGCTCCTCTGTTTATATTGAAAGTTACTGTTCTTAGCAGCAGTGATTGGAACACGGTGAAATCATTATCCCCTGACACCAACGGTATATACAGATGTATTGGGGGAGAGCTCTAGGCAAGCTCAAACAAGGGCCAGAGAAGAGAAATATTGTCTCTATTCTAAAGAGGGAGTTTTGGGACGCTGAGTTATTAAGACCAGTATTTTTGGAAGACCTCTGTACTCACAGCAGGAGCAGATTAAAAAAAAACAAAAAAAAAAAAACTTACGGTTTTTTCGAGAGGTATTTGAAAACAATCAGTCTGACAAATAGATAATGGGAAGTTATTTTGCCATTTTACCACTGGTTAATATTCCACCTCTGTCATTCTGATGGAAGCTCTTCATTTGAAAAGCGATTCCTGGCCAGCGTGATGTCTCTTCCTTGGTCCCCAATTTTGGATACCTGCTGTCTGTCACCAGCAAGCAGGGACAGGAGCTGCAGGTGGCTTTTTCAGCAGTTCTGTTGCTGTGGCATCTTTTCAAACTAATCTACACACAATTCTATATTCCTACAGTTTTGTTGCTTGGATGGATAAAACATTTCAACCTTCTCTCTAGAAAGTGACAGTTGCTTCCATAGAAGCTGCTAAAAGGCATGGAAATAAGCTGTAATAGCATAAGCATATTTTACATTGTAATAGCTGCATCTTAGCTAGAGAATTAAATTTATTTCACTAGTCTGGTTCAGAAACCAGCAGAAAGTTACCCATACAAAACTTGAGGGCAGCCGACCTCTTGAGTGTGTGCTGCAGTATTCAGAAGGA